TCTTCTTCTTCTTCTTCTTCTTCTTCTTCTTCTTCTTCTTCTTCTTCCTCCTCCTCCTCCTCCTCCTCCTCCTCCTCCTCCTATCATCATCATCATCATCATCATCATTCCAAGTCACTCTTTCCCTTCTTCAGTTCGCTGGTAGCTCTCAGCCCAAGAGTGAAATCTTGAAATATTCAATTTTCAATTCAATATTCAATAACAGCAGGACAGTGTTAGGGAAGGGACCTTGGAGGTCTTCTAGTCCAACCTCCTGCTCAGTCAGGAAAACCATATACCATTTGTCCAATCTCCTCTGAAAAGCCCCAAATGATGGAAAGTCCAGTTGCCTCTTGAAAAAGCAACAAACCATGACCTATGGTTTGGGACAACCATGACCTGTGGCTAAGACGCTGAGCTTGTCGCTCAGAAAGGTCGGCAGTTCGGCGGCTCCAATCCCTAGTACAGGTCTCCCGGGTTGGGCTAGATGACCTCCAAGGCCCCTTCCCACTCTGTTACTGTTAAAGACTGAGAATCTCCACAGAAACTCGAGTGACGGAGCACCTAAAAGGGCTGCGGGTTCGGCCACCTCACGAAGGGGCGCTCACTAACCCGATTCGTGTGAGGGGCCGGGGCAGGCCGAAGCTCCGGCAGAGGAGAACGGGGAGCAAAGTATCACTCCGCCCTGCGACGCCGCCAAGGAGCCCGGCGGGCCGACGGCAGGCCGGGGCGGGTGCGCTTTCGTTTTGGAAGGCGGCGCCCGGCGTCTGCCTACCGCCGCCCCTTCCTCGCTCAGAGGCCGGAGCTCCGCAGACGGGAGGCGGCAACCGGGGCAGCATGACGGGGCTACGGGACTGCAAGGTGAGGCGGGGGTCGGGGGGCTCCGGCCCGGGGAGGGCTTGTGTGTGTGTGGGGGGGGGGAGCCGCTGGGCGTCTTGGCCGGGCTCCGGACCGTTTTTGCCCCGCTTCAAGTTTCTGCAGCCGCTTTGAAAGCGTCCGTGGGTTTTGCCGTGGAGGCCGGAGAACGTCCCGCGCTCGCGACGCAGCCAAGTGGGCTTTCCGAGTGGTCTCCTGTCCCGTCCTGTTTCTTTGCCCGGATCAGCGGAGATTGAGGGGTGGGGTGGGGTGGGGGCTTCCATAGGTTCCCTCTGGCCAAATCCAGCCTGGGGCTGAGCAGAGGCGAGGGCGGTCCTAAGGAACAGAGAGAGAGAGAGAGCTGGGTTCAAATTCAGCCTTAGTTTAGCCATAGACCTTTACAGGGTGGAACTATGGGCCACTTCGGTGCCAGTCTGCCCACCCAGTCTGCAGAGTCAGCTGAGACTCGAGGGCAACTTGGCATGCCACCTTGGAGCTGCTTGAACCAAGAGGGTGGCATAACTCAGAAAATGATCTTTTCTTGACTGCGGTTAATATGAAATTACTTGGCTGTTGCAAAGTCAAACTTCTTGCAGGCTCTTTTCCTGGTGGTGCCCCATCCCTCCTGTGCACAGGCTGTCACAAAGACCCAGCTGTTGGGGGGGGGGGCAAGAGAAGCTTGCAGGTCAAGTGCCCCCCCCCCAGTTTTCCCCAGGTTGCAGCAAATGTTGGGGCAAGGTGTGAGATATGGGATGGGGAGAGCGATGCCAGCTTGCTTCCTTGGCATGGAAGACCGGCTGATGTTCCCTTTGGTCAGCTGTTGCAACTCCTGGAGGCAGAATTGCGCTGGTCTGGTTGGCAGCCGTTCCCAAGAGTTTAATACCGGAGTGGGAAGCGTGAGGCGAAGGAGGGAAAAGGTTAGGAAGCAGGTTATTCATTACCTGGGCATCCGAATCGTGGACAAAGTGCAGGAAGTGATATTTGGGACTCCTGGGCAGGGCTCTGCGGTTGAAGCTTCGTGAAGAAGTTTTGCAATATTTTCGCAAGTAGAACTGGCTTTAAACAAGTCGGGTTAAGGATTTTTGGAGTTTCTAGCTAGGTTCTTGCTTGGATTGGGTGGCCTGAATAGATGTCCCGTTGGGGAAAGGGTGGTAAGTGACATGACATAGGCTACCGCATCATTGCTTGATGCGGTAAACTTAAGAGCCTTGGTAGTACAGTGGTCTAAGGCACCCTGTTATTAAGCTGGTTAAGAGCCTTGGTAGTACAGTGGTCTAAGGCACCCTGTTATTAAGCTGGTTATTAAGACCAGCTGCCTGCAATTACTGCAGGTTCGAATCTCGCCAAGGCTCAAGGTTGACTCAGCCTTCCATCCTTTCTAAGGTAGGTAAATTGAGGACCCAGTTGTGGGGGCAATAAGATGACTTTGTATAAATATACAAAAGGATGAAGGCTATTGCTGAGCACATTGTAAGCCGCCCTGAGTCTCCGGAGAAGGGCGGCATATAAATCAAATTAAAAAATAAAAAAAAAATGAGGTCACAAAATCTGGTGCACAGGATGTGTGTGGTGAGGCCATGATGTCTGATGACATCTCAACCCAAGGGATGTGGATACATTTTTATTTTAGATTAAAAATAAAAAAAAATAAGAAAGAAAAAAAAACACAACAACAATAACATAAAAATATCATCTTTACAAACAATTATAGACAGCATCTCAATCGGTTAAAATCATTTCGTGCTTACAATTCTCCAAATCTCCTCATATAGCAATTATTCAACCCAAGGGATGTGGACAAATGACCGTGAGAGCCAATTTGGTGTAGCGGTGAAGCACCAAGCTAGAAACCAGGAGACTGGGAGTTCTAGACCCACTTTGGGCACAAAACCGGCTTGGGCCAGTTGCTTTTTCTCAGCCCTAGGAAAGAGGCAATGGCAAAGCACTTCTGAAAAACCTTGCCAAAACACTGCCCAGGCAATCTAACAGAATTGCACGTGATTGAACAGAAGGAGAAAAGTCCATCTACGTGCAGTGCTACCTTTATAAACATTAAAAATAATATCCTGCTAGGATCCAGGCATACTGGGGTGTGAAGAGATGGACTTTGAACTGAAAATGAGTGCCAGATTAGAGAGAGGAGGGCTTGAAGAATATATTTTGAGGGGTGATTTTGCGTGTATGTGTGCATGCATGTGCTTGTGTGCCCAGGGTGGGTTCTACTTACCTTTACTACCGGTTTGCAACGGGGCCACACGCGTGGGCTCACTTCGTTCGCTTGTGCGTGTGCTCTTCTGTGCATGTGCAGAACAGTGTGGGTTACCCCCGGTTCGGACCAGTTCTATAGAACCCGTAGTAAAACTGGCAGGAGGCTCCGCCCACCAACCCGATGTCATCAGGAAGCTTCTGCACATGCGCAGAAGCACGCACACACGCACGGCCCCATTGCAAACCAGTAGTAAAGGTAAGTAGAACCCACCCCTGGCACAGAAGCTTCCTGATGACGTCCAGGTCAGTGGGCAGAGCCTCCCGCCGGTTTTACTATCGGTTCTTGAGAACCGGTCCGAACCAGGGGCAACCCATCACCGTTGCGTGCCCTTCAATTTAGTCTTGACTCCTGGAGACTCCTTCGACATTTCTTGGCAACGTTTTGAAGTTTCAAAACCATTTCCCAGATAGTTTTCAGACTCTGGTGCAGTGGTGGGTTGCTCCTGGTTCGCACCGGTTCATAAGAACCGGTAGTAAAAAATTTTAGTAGTTCGGAGAACCAGTAATAACATTGGCTGGTCATGCGCCCAAACGGGTCCCCGGCCCGGTCGCCACTCGCTTACCCCACCCACTTCATCAGAGGCTTTTTTTTTTTTAACTTTTAAAAGCATTTTTTCTACAACCTCTTCGGCTGAAAAAATGCTTTTAAAAGTTAAAAAAAAAGCCTCTGATGATCGCGCGGCTCAGCTGGGATTTCAGAGGCTTTTAAAAGCATTTTTTCTACAACCTCTTCGGCCGAAGAGGTTGTAGGGAAAAAAATGCCTTTAAAAGCCTCTGATGATCCCAGCTGACTTGCCTGATCGTCAGAGGCTTCTAAAAGCATTTTTTTTCTGCAACCTCTTAAGGTTGTAGAAAAAATGCTTTTAAAAGTTAAAAAAAAAGAAAAGTTGGCCACGCCCACCCAGTCACATTAACCCCCACAAGCCACACCCACAAAGTAAGCCACGCCCACAGAACTGGTAGTAAAAAATTTTAGAACCCACCCCTGAATTGGTGGACTAGAACCCACCATCTCTAGATTTGTAGGTGAAAACCATCTGGCTCACCTTTGGCCAGTCACTCTCCCTCAGCCCAAGCCACAGGGCGGCTGTTGTGGGGAAAATAGGAGGAGGAAGGAGCATATAAGTATGTTCGCCGCCTGGAGTTATTTTATCAACAATAATAAAGATGGGATATAAATAAATAAACTACACTACAACTTTGAGGGGTGAGGCCAATCATTATTTGCTAGTTATACCATTAGTTGTAGCCAGTGGTGGGTTCCTCCCGGTTCGGTCTGGTTCGGCCGAGCCGGTAGCGGTGACGATATGACGTCACCGAATCGGTTCTCCCACACCCCCACCCCCCCCACATTATTCTTACCTTTTATTTGGTCCCACCCCCAATCTATTGCTGCCTCCTGAGTCCCAGCTGATGACTAGAGGGAAAAAAACTGTTTAAACTCTTGCCGTGGGGCTTCAAAGGGCCGTCCTACAGCTGATCAGTGTTAAAAGCAAACAAATGAGTCGGGTCGTAAATGCGAGGACTGGTCGTAAGTGCGAGGACCTTCCAGAAATGACTCTGACCAGCTAGCCACGCCCACCTAGTACATGACCTCCAAGCCACACCACAAAATAAGCCACGCCCACAGAACCGGTAGTAAAAAAAAATTAGAACCCACTGCTGGTTGTAGCAAATACTGGTTTTTGCTAGTTACGGAAAGTACTGTTGCTACTATTGATTGTAGCAACAGTAGATTATGGGATGGAGGGGAAAAATAGACTGATTTGCCAGCCGTGTAAAAGATAGCATGATTTTCTGAACATGTAAAGCTATGCAAGATTGGGTTCCTTTAAGCGCTAGGATGGGAGACTACCAGGAGATCCCAGGCCTGTGCTAATCGGAGAATCAAAAGGACATCCTAGAAGAAGGAAATGGGGAGGCCAAGAAAGCAACATGAAGTGAGCAGGTGTTGAGCTCAAATCAAAGAAAGATTTCTCTTTTCTGCCTGCCATATCTTTTGAGAGAAATAGTAGTGCTATTATGAATAGCAATTATGTCTGTCTTGGCTCCCGAGGGAAGAATTTCAAAACCCTAGTTGGATAATGATGATAATTTTTTGTCTCGGGATGTATTCTCACAGTGTTAAAAGCCAGCGGCATTCGCAGGGGTGGCTGTGAATCAAAACCCTTTCAGTAAGGCATTTGACAAAGTAGACCACAACTTACCTCTTGGTAGACTAAAAAAAATGTAGGATACACAGCATCACCCATCAGATGGATTTGTAGCTGATTTGACAAATTACACTCAACATATGGCATCAATGGAACTACATCTACATGGAAGGGAGGAAACAGGGAGGTATCTCAAAGTTCTGTTTTAGGCCCAGTCCTCTTCAACATCTTCATACATGATTCAGATAAGAGGATAGAAGGAGAACTCGGCAAATTTGGAGATGACACTAAACTGGCAGGAATAGCCGACACTCCAGAAGATAGCCTCAAGATCCAGATGGATCTCAACAGACTTGAACACTGGGCCCTATCTAACAAAATGACATTCAATGTGGAGAATATCGAGAGTTTTACACTTAGGCAAAAAAAAAACAAATGTCCAGGTACAGATCAGGTGAAACCTGGCTCAAGAGCAATATTTGTGAGAGGGATTTGGAGTCTTAGTGGAACAATCACTTAAATATGAGCCAGCAGTGTGTGGCAGCAGCCAAAAAAGCCAATGCAATCATAGGTTCAGTGGTGGGATTCAGCCAGTTCGCACCACTTCGGAGAACCGGTTGTTAACTTTCTGAGCAGTTTGGCAAACTGGTTGTTGGAAGAAATCATTAGGGCAGAGAACCGGTTTGTTAAATTACTTGAATCCCATCACTGCATAGGTTGCATTAAAAGAGCAGAAGAATAGAATCAAGATTGCATCAGGAGTGAAATCCAGCAGGTTCTGACAGGTTCCGGAGAATTGGTAGCGGAAATTTTGAGCAGTTTGGCGAACCGGTAGCGGAAATTTTGAGTAGTTCAGAGAACCGGCAAATGCCACCTCTGGCTAGCCCCACAGTGGGGTGGGAATGGAGTTTTTGCATTATCCTTCCCCCAGGAATGGGGAGGGAATGCGGATTTTACAATATCCTCCCCTGGAGTGGAGTGGGAATGGAGATTTTGCAGTATCCTTCCCCTTTCACGCCCACCAAGCCACACCACACCCACCAAGTCACGCCCACAGAACTGGTAGTAAAAAAAATTGAATTTCATCACTGCATCACATGAAGTATTAGTACCACTTTATAAAGCCTTAGTGAGACCACACCTAGAATATTGTATCCAGTTTTGGTCACCATGTTATAAAAAAGATGTAGAGACTCTGGAAACAGTGCAGAAAAGAGCAACGAAGATGGACTGGAGGTTAAAACATGAAGTATGGTTACTGGAACTGGGTTTGTTTCGGGCTGACATAATAGCACTGTTCCAATAATTGTGATCTGCCACAAAGAAAATGGGGGTATCAGCCTATTCTCCAAAGCACCCGAAGGCAGGACGAGAAGCAACAGATACTAATCGAGGAGATTAGTACATGGTACACATGGTTGGAAAAAATGATAAAAAAAACACATAGACTTTAAACCAGAGATTTTTTTTTATTAGGAATTATACCAGAAACATACAATAGAGAATTGAGATATTTGATTGTGAATGTATTGACAGCGGCTAGAATTGTGTTTGCTAAAAACTGGAAAAATGAGAAAATACCAACGCAAGATGAAGTTATTAAGAAAATCATGGAATGTGCTGAAATGAGTAAATTGACATTTGAAATTAGAGAACAAGAAGATAAACAATATTATAAGATATGGGATTTATTTTACCAATGGCTAGATGATAAAACATGGAGATGAAATATGAAATATAAAATGAATGTTAGAATATAATACGTGAAAATATATATTTTTTTGGAACGATAATGCCATTGTTGAATAAATGAGAATAATGAGATAAAGATATATATCAGGTTGATAATATGAGAAATTAGATAATTAGTAAAATATGACTATGGGGAAGAAGCACAAGGGATTTGCAAAGATCGATCACACTGCTTGAAATTGTAATGGATGAAGGATGTTTTATGTTTTGTTTGTTTAAAAATTAAAAAAAAATTGGGAAAAAAAAAAGAATCTGACCAGATTCACTTAACAGTCATGTCACTAACTTAACAACTCAGGTAGTCCTCGACGTATGACCATAATTAAATCCAAAATATCTGTTGTTAAGTAAGATATTTGTTAAGTGAGTTTTGCCCCGTTTTACGGCCTTTCTTGCCTCAGTTTTTAAGGGAATCACTGTAGCTGATGAGTTAGTAACCTGGTTGTTAAGTGAATCTGACTTCCCCATTGATTTTGCTTGTCAGAAGGTAGCAAACAAAAATCACGTGATCTTTTGGGACACGGCAACGGTCATAAGCAGGGGTGGGTTCTAATTTTTTTTACTACCGGTTCTGTGGGCGTGGCTTATTTTGTGGGTGTGGCTTGGAGGTCATGTGACTAGGTGGGCGTGGCTAGCTGGTCAGAGTCATTTCTGGAAGGTCCTCGCACTTACGACCAGTCCTCGCACTTACGACCCGACTCATTTGTTTGCTTTTAACACTGATCAGCTGTAGGACGGCCTTTGAAGCCCCGCGGCAAGAGTTTTTTCCCTCTAGTCATCAGCTGGGACTCAGGAGGCAGCAATAGATTGGGGGTGGGACCAAATAAAAGGTAAGAATAACGTGGGGGGGGGGGGGGTGGGGCGGCGGGGGGGGGGGGGGAGAACCGGTTCGGTGACATCATATCGTCACCGCTACCGGCTCGGCCGAACCGGACCGAACCGGGAGGAACCCACCACTAGTCATCAGTATGAAACAGTTGCCAAGCATCTGAATTTTGATCACATGATCATAGAGATGCTGCAAAGGTGATAACTGTGAAAAACTGTCATAAGTCACTTTTTTCAGTGCCATTGTAACTTTGAATGGTCACTAAATGAACTGTTGAGGTGTTCAACTGTTAAGGTGAGGACTACCTGTACAGTGATTCACTTAATCACTCCAGCAATAAAAGTTGTAAAATGGGGCAAATCTCACTTAACAACTGCCTTCCTTAGCAACAAAAATTTTGGGCTCAATTGGAGTACTTGTACTATATTTTAATCCATTGAAGGTAATGAAAAAATACATTTACCAAAGTTGCATAGATTTTAAGCCTCTTTATTGTTAAAAAATCAACATAAACAACCATTTGAATTGAGAAAACTGTCTTTCTTTTTTGTATTTTTTGTAATTTTGTGCTTCTGTTTCATTTTTCCATTTTGCATCTTTTCCAGGCCTGGCAGGACGCAGGACTTTTCCTTTCAACCACCAGTAATGAGGCTTGTAAACTTTTTGATGCTGCGTTGACTCAGGTGGGGATGAGGAAAAGGTTATGGAAGAGACTGACGGGCATAAACATTCTCATTACTAATGGTCAGTTGCAGAAATTGTGACAAGGGAGAGAAAACGGCAAGTTTTCTTGTGCGCCAAGAGAAGAAAATCAAATTGAATCAACGCGCATTGAATTTGAAAATGCATTCTGCATGGAAATCCTGGAAGTAAATTCTTGAAAATTAAAGTATGTAATTCATCATAACACTCGTGAGATGGTTGGAAGGCTTTGTGAAAGCAAATCGAAGACTAGTGTTCGAACCGAAGAAACAGAAGCTAAGCAAAATCCACTAGTCATTTTTTAAAATATGAATGGAATAAAGTAGCAGCCTTAAGAATATTTTTGCTACGTGGCCACATTTGGAAAAAGTGGCTTTTTAGTGAAAGTTGCCATACTGGATTTCTTTTCTGAACGTCTCTCTCTGTATTCTTAACCAACAGAGTTCTTTTCTTTATTCCAGTATGTGACTTGGACGAATGACCAAAGTCTCGGGGGCCTTGAAGGAACCTTTTCAAAAATACAGGCTGCAGATCCTAACTTTGGTAAGCAGGCTTTTAGGCAGGGGTGGGCTTCATAAAATTTAGCAAGCGGTTCTCTGCCTGGTTGCTGGGTGGGCGTGGCCATGGTGGGCGTGCCCTAGTTGGTCGGTCTCCTGCACCACGACGTATGTGTGTATCTTTGCCCTCCCCAGGCTCCGGAGGCTTTTCCTGAGCCTCTGGGAAGGCGAAAATAGCCTCCCCAGGCTCCGGAGGCCCTCTGGTGGCCAGTAACGGGCCCATTTCTGGCCTTCCTGAACTTGCGGTAGGCCTGTTTTTCGCCATCCCTGAGCCTCCATGTGCACCCTGCGCTTACCTGCATCCAAAACGGGCCGCATGGGGACTCCTGGAAAGGGTGGGGCGGGGTGGGTGGGGCCAGCCAGGAGTGGAATTTGGGGGTTCTCCGAACTGCACAGAATCTTAGCTAGAAGTTCTCCCAAACTCTTGCGAACCCCGGGCAGCCCACCTCTGCTTTCAGGGATGATCTTGAAGGATCCAGGATGTGGAATTGCCTAGAATGCTAGGGGAAAGGAATACGGGATGTCCTCTCCTGAATTTCAGAACTTCAAATTGCAGCAGGTTCACCGGAAAGAGACCCTGGGAACACACATGTGAAAATCTGGAATAGTTTTTCTAGTGTAACAGCAGAGGTAAACTCTTGCGTGGAAAAAGTTTGCCCATTAGCTTTCCATTATTTTACGTATTTATTTGGGAATAGGTTCTAGAATTGCACACTGAATGGCTTTAGCATGGCAACCTGGTTCCGCCAAGCGTTTTCAACTTCACCTGGCTGTTGGCTAGTCATGCTGGGGAGGAAGAGGAGGCTGGACTAGGAGAAGGGAGACCCAGGTTCTTCTACATCCTCATATAGGGAACATGCTGGAGGATTTGGTTCAGCCTTTCTCTCTTGGTTCAGTGTTACTTCCCAGGGTACTTTGGAGGAAAATTTAACCAGGAGTGTATGCATACTGTTGGATCCTTCCTCCTTCCTTCTTCTTCCTTCCTCCTCCTCCTCCCTCCCTCCCTCCTCACTTCCTTTCCTCCCCTTCCTTCTTTCCTCCTCCTCATCTTCCTTCCTTCCTCCCTCCTTCCCTTCTCCTTCCTTCTTCCTCCCTCCTTTCCTTCCTTCCTTCCCTCCCTCCTCATCTTCCTTCCTCCCTCCTTCTCCCTCCTCTCCTCTTCCTTCTTCCTTCCTCCCTCCTCTCATCTTCCTTCCTCCCTCTCTCTCTCCTTTTCCCACTCTCCTCCCTCCTTCCCTCCCTCCTCTCTTCCTTCTTTCCCTCCCTCCCTTCCTTTCCTCTTCCTCCCTCCCTCCTCCTCTTCCTTCTTTCTTCTCCCTCCCTCTCCTTCCTACCTTCCTTCCCTCCCTCCTTTCTCATCTTCCTTCCTTTCTTCCTCCCTCCCTCTATCTTCTTCTTTCTCTCTTCCTCCTTCTTCCCTCCCTCCCTCCTCCTCCCCACTTCCTTTCCTCCCCCTCTCCTTCTTTCCCTCCCTCCTCATCTTCCTTCCTTCCTCCTCCTTCCCTTCTCCTTCTTTTCCTTCCTCCTCTTCTCCTTCTTCCTTCCTCCCTCCTCATCTTCCTTCCCTCCTCCTTCCCTCCTTTCTCATCTTCCTTCCTTCTTCCTCCCTCCTCCTCATCTTCTTCCTTCCCTCCCTCCCTCTCCTTCCTTCCCTCCTCCCTCTCTCTCCCTTCCCTCCCTCCTCCCTCCCTCCCTCCTTCCCTCCCTCCTCCTCTTCCTTCTTTCCCTCTCCCTCTCCTTCCTTCCTTCTTCTTCCCTCCCTCCCTCCTCCTCTTCTTCTTTCCCTTCCTCCCTCCCTTCCTTCCTACCTTCTTCCTCCTCCTTTTATCTTCCTTCCTTTCTTCCTTCCCTCCCTCCTCATCTTCCTTCTTTCTCTCCTTCCCTCCTTCCTTCCCTCCCTCCCTCCTCTTTCTCCCTCCCTCCTCATCTTCCTTTCTCTTCCTCCCTCTCTCCTCCCTCCCTTCTGTTTTATCTTTTAAACATTTACAATATAATATACACATATGACCTAGAGTACAACAGTTTTTTAAAGCTTAGCATTAAGATTTTAATTTTGTAAAAATATTGTTAGTTGGTTGATTTAATTGGATGGTTGTTTGCCTGCCTAAAGACTTGAAAAACCCTGTTCTTCTTGATAGTCATGGGCAATGTGATTGCCAACGGTTTGGTCCTGATCGGTACTGGGACTTCGGTGCGGCTGGACAAGAAACTGGATGATGCCATCAAGACCATGTGTCACTTTCACACTCTCAGTCCTTGAGTGAGCGGAGAAAATGCACGTGTCTGCCCTGGAGCTCTTCGCTCGTGGGTAAGTTGTTCCTTGGGTGAATTGCATTTTGCATTTGTGGTCAAATCTAGGTCTGTAGACATCCATAGAACGGTAGCTTCTCTCTGAGGTCTCCATTGCAAAGGGAGACACTGTGCAATCTCTTCCCTCTTTGGGGTGGATTTCTGGTTGGGGGTTTTCATACCCCATTAATGTTTGCCTTGAAGGATAAGAGCTTGGCCATATCTGTGCACTGAGATCTGTTGTTTTGAACTTAAACTTCTGCCTTCCGAGCAAACCTGGGTCAGGCAGTTTCTCCAGATGGTGAGCTGGGCTAAACTTGGCAAATGGGAATGTTTTGAAGTTCAACTCTTTCTCTGAAAAATTCCATCTGAAATGGTTTCTCTACACATCATCCTTAGTGAAGCCTGCAAACCAGCGTCTGCATTTCTTACGTCGAATAAAGAGAGCACATCTTTCTCCTTCTCCTGGCCACTTTTTACAGAGGCACGATTGAGAGCGTTTTAACAAACTGCATCACCGTTTGGTTTGGTGATAGCAGTGCCTCAGATAGAAAGTCCACAAAGAGAGTGGTAAGGACAGCCGAGAAGATTATAGGAAGCTCAGTTCCCGTTATTCAGGATATCGCTTGTAAGAGCTATGCGCTTAGAACTGAAAGCATTGTTAGAGACCCCACACACCCACTTCACGGTCTGTTTAGGTTGCTCCCCTCTGGGTCCTCGTAAGTTGAGGACTACCTATACTTAGCCTTGCGCGAACACTAATTTGTAAACTTTTCTCCCTGCAGGCAAATCAACCAAGCCTGTGATACGTGGGAAGAAATCCTAGAGAGCAATCCAACTGACATGCTGGCCCTAAAATTTGCCCATGATGGCTATTTTTATTTGGGATCTCAGGCTCAAATGAGAGACTCAATTGCCCGAGTTTATCCTTATTGGACTCCAGATATTCCTCTTAGCAGGTAAGGCCATTTTGTTTTTCTGATGCAAAATTGTGTTCCTCGGTTTTAAAAAATAATTAAGGCTGAAATGTATCCTACTTGTTGTTGTGGCCCACCAGCAGAGCTGGCAACAGATTCGGACAGTGAGGGAGGTTGGGGAGGAACATGGGCCAGTCCTGGAGTCTGGGGAAGACTCTGATGAGGGCTCTGCATCAGAGGCAGAGAGGGGGCCAGGGCCATCTGATAGTTATCAGCTGCCTTCGGAGTCAGACATCAGTGAGGCAGACAAACAGCTGGAGCCTGTTCCCAGTGTGCGCATGCGCAGAGCTGCCAGACAAAGGGAACAGCTAAGGAACAAGGGTCGACTTGGGAGTAAGGCCACAGGTGGACGATGAATGGCCCCTCCCAGAGGGAATAAAAGAGGAGCAAAAGGGGAGGGAGTTTGCAGGAGACAATTAGTTCGCTTAATTGGCTTGTGACCTCCGAGACTCCTTGCCAATTTTTGAAGATATCGGCCTGGCAGTTTCCAAGCCAGATAGTCTGTGACTGTAAATACACCCTTGAAAGACTTTGCTGGATGTGAATGAGAGAAATTCACAGTAACTTAATAAAAAGGGATCTTTGTCAGGACAAGAAGTCTGCTTCATGCTCTTGGGAAGCCTAGGTCAGAACACTTCTTAAACATAGAGTGCAAAAGTGAATTAGTAGAATTCCCTTTTAGAGCCAAAACTTTATTCTAGCTCCATGTCTTCCCCAACCTATTATTTTTCCACTAGTGTAACACAAATGGTTCCAGTGTGAAGAGTTTCTATTCACAGTTCAAGCTTGTCTTCCTGCTGCTCTCCATTCTACCATTTTCGTTCCTCCCTGCTTTTTCTCGCGTTTCTTCTCCCACATTGGTACAAGCCCCAGTGTACCAATGGTTGTGACATCATCAACACCACTGTTTGATGTGACATCACAACACCCACCGTTTGTGTTGTGTTACACCGTTTGTGTTGTGTTACACCGTTTGTGTTGTGTGACACCGTTTGCCTTCCCAAAAATGCCCTTCAGACCAAAGTATTCCAATTTCCCCCCTTAACAGGTGTGTGTGTGTGTGTGTTAACAACCACAATGGAAAATTAAAGAATTGGGGAGAAGATCTGAGAAAGAATGGAATGAACCAGGATTCCATTAGGAAACCTGCGATGAAACACAGAAAATATCCTATCTTTCAGCATTCCTGCTTGATGAATATATTGGCCATGTTAAATTAATCCATGTTCAGACAGGACACGGACCCTAAACGGACGGTGGCCCAGATTCACATATCTTTTTAAAGGACAAAGAGTATAGAATACAGAGTAACAGAGTTGGAAGGGACCTTGGAGGTCTTCTAGTCCCGCTGTTGTGGTTCACAGCAGCCTGCAGAGCTGGCAGCGGATAGTGATGAGGCTGAGGAAGAACATGGGCCAGTCCTGGAGGCTGGGGAAGGCCTGGATGAGGGCTCTGCGTCAGAGGCGAGATGGGGTCAGGGCCATCGGGGAGTGATGTACGGACTCCGGAGCCTCCAGAGGCTGACAGCAGAGAGGCAGAGGAACAGGAGGAGCCTGTCCTAGTGCATGTATGAGAAGAGCTGCCAGAAGGCAAGAACAGCTAAAGCAAAGAGGACGACTCGGGAGGAAGGCCAAGAGATGATTGGCCCCTCCCATTAGGCTTAAAAGACCAGCAACGGCTCTTGGGCTCTTTGTTCGGAAAACAACATTGATAGTATTGCTGCACTTATCTCTTGTTGACGTCTTCTGCTTTTGAACTTTTGCCAAGAGAAGCCTTTGGCAGTTTGCCTAATTATACCAAGGTTGGTGATTAGACTGAGGAATTTGTGTTATGAAGAGTTTGTTTTAATTTAGTTTGGACTACGCTGAGAATGAGTTAATTCTCAGCTGTTCTAATAAAGTCTGTTTGTTTTGGAACTGTTTGCATCGATTACTATTTACTCTACCGTGTAGAGACTTGTCCTGCTGCCTTCCTGCCATCCCCAACCTCAAGGACATTTTAAAGGCTCACTGGTCACCTTCAGCAGACTGCAGATTTAGCCCCAGATGGGGCAGGGAGACAGGAGACATGCCATGGGCCCTCAAGATAAACCCCAAAGTTACAATATTGTGTGGAGTTGCTTAACTTGATCTGGGTTGGGGAATTCAGTGACCTCTAACCCGAAACCAGATTGACTTGGTCTGTCAATGAAGGTCAGAAATATTGCCTTGAAGAGACCATATCAAAGCGCTGCTGATTAACTTATTTATTTTTTTCTTTAGCTACATTAAAGGCATGTACGCCTTCGGTTTGGTCGAAACCAATTTCTATGACCGTGGTGAGAAGCTGGCCTATGAGGTAACTGAAAGAAGAAGCAGACCTGTGCAAATGAAAAATCTTACCCTTCATTTCTTGACAGAGAAGTTGAGTGAGGGAGAAAAAAATCAGAAGAGACTGATAATATCTCTCTGAGCAGGGGTGCTATTCAGCAGGTTCTGACAGGTTCTGGAGAACCGGTAGCAGAAATTTTGAGTAGTTTGGAGAACCGGCAAATACCACCTCTGGCTGGCCCCAATGTGGGGTGGGAATGGCGATTTTGCAATATCCTTCCCTCAGGAGTGGGGAGGGAATGAGGATTTTGCAGTATCCTTCCCCTGGAATGGGGTGGGAATGGAGATTTTGCAGTATCCTTCCCCTGCCACTCTCACTAAGTCACACCATGCCCACCAAGCCACACCCACAAAACCAGTAGTAAAAAAATTTGGATTTCACCACTGTCTCTGAGCCACACGTTTTATTCAAAGGCCGAAGTTTCCATAAATTCCATCCTCGGGTGCAGAAAAAGCTTCAGCCTTTAAATAAAATTTGTTGGAAGAGGCACTATCAGAGGTGGTATTCAGCCAGTTCGGACCAGTTCAGGTGAACTCGTAGTGGTGACCTGCGGGCGCCCACCCGCCTGGGTGCAATCTGGTCCTATATTGCTGTGTTTTTGATGCGCGGATGGCACACGAGCGAATTGACGTATTGTTTGATGTTGCACACATGCATGGACGGCGCGCACAAGCAAATTGCCGTGTTTTGTGATGCCGCACGCATGTGCGGACGGCATGTGGGTGAGCGAAGCAAGCTCACATTTCCGGTGCTGGGCGAACCGGTTGCTACAGTATGTGAAGCCTCTGGGCACTATCAAACCTTCTCTGATTTATTTTTTTGCCACCCTGGATGCATGAGAGTGGCTCTTGGTGGCAGATGCGACTGTGTTAATTTCCTAAGTGCTCAACAGAGAAGATTCCTTCGAGATTTCCAAAATGGTGGTTGCTACCCAGATTTTTGCTCCCAGAAGCAAAGAGGAGACAGAACTCACGCTCTTAACGCTGATCTCTGGCCAAAGGAGTGTCTGAGCATTACGTTTTCTTGTCTAACTAGAGCATTTCAACTCCCTCTGTAGAAAATAAATCTACTGCAGCATTTACAGGAATGTTATGATCCCAATGGGGACAGGAAGAAATATCCTAAAAACTGACCAAGTGGAAGAAGGATAAAAGCTTTGATGACTTTTGCTTCTTCTGTTTGAGGTTCTGCTGCTGAGTCCAAACTTAATTGTTCTCCTTGGGAGGAGGATGAGTCTTCAGAAGTCCTCCAGGTGTACTTCTGTACAGTAGCAGAAGTACTATACTACACTTCTGTGTAGTACCAGAAGTACTACACCTGTACTCCAGATTGCATTTGGGAACCTCCAGAGGGGACGCGGTGGCTCAGTGGCTAAGACACTGAGCTTGTCGATCGAAAGGTCGGCAGTTCAGCAGTTTGAATCTCTAGTGCTGCGTAATGGGGTGAGCTCCCATTACTTGTCCCAGCTTCTGCCAACCTAGCAGTTTGAAAGCAGGTAAAAAATGCAAGTAGAAAAATAGGGGCCACCTTTGGTGGGAAGGTAACAGCATTCCGTGCGCCTTTGGCGTTTAATCATGCCGGCCACATGCAATAATGGGATTCAAATCCCGGCGCTACCAGTTTGCTATCGGTAGCGCGTGGGTGTGCATGCTTGCTTTGCATGCGCAGAGCGTTTTTGATGATGTCTGAGCGGGTGGGCAGAGCCTCCCATCACCGCCACTACTGATTTGCCCGAACTGGGGTGAACTGGAAGCAACCCATCACTGGTCACATGACCACGGAGACATCTTCGGACAGTGCTGGCTCTTCGGCTTTGAAACAGAGATGGGCACCACTCCCTAGAGTTGGGAATGACTAGCACATATGTGCGAGGGGAATCTTTACCTTTAGAGAGAACATGCACTGAGTTGGGCCTCTTGCTGAGCTGGATCTTCTGAAGTCTCCAGCTTCATTTCTTCCAGGATCCCTGAAGAACTCACGTCTTCTGAACTTTTTTGCTCACATATTAGCCATCCTGGTGTAAAAGAATGTAGAGATTGGTCTCTGGCATAGAGAAGCAGTGAACAAGTTTAAAGGGGCTTTTGCAATAGACTTGCACAAAATGTTACATAGTCATAAGAAAGAGGGAAGTACGAGAACGAAACTGGAAAGAACCTCATCTTAATTTTGTTAAGTAAGAGATGGGACAGAAGGAAACTCAGACAGGGTTCAAGATAGGGGTGATATTCACTTACCTTCGCTATTGGTTTGTAAATGTGAGCCCATGTGCCACCTCCACGCATGCACAGAGCATCAAAAATGGGATGTGATGACGTCCAGCTGAGTGGGTGGAGCCTCCCACAGCTGCCGCTACCAGTTCGCCAGAACCGGATAGAACTGGCTGAATACCACCACTGGTTCAAAATTTATGTTAGCACTGTGAAGTAGTCCAGGTTAAGAAACACACACAAGGATTTGAGCAATGCTTTTTTATTGTAATAAAGCAGGATAACCGAATCTTGAAAGCTTGGCCGAATTCTATTCTGTCCCATTTTAACACTTAAACAAATTCAAGATGGTGTTTTTGTGAATTTCTCTTTTGTGCTTCTGTCTTTCTCAGGATTTGTGGTCTTTCCTGCAACTCTCCCCTTAATGCCTCCTTCATCCCCCAAACCCAGCTCTACCCCTCCTTTACACCTCACTCATTTGAATGTGGGTTTGGGGCAGGGGTGAAATGTAAAATTTGTTACTACCGGTTCTGTGGGCGTGGCTTGGTGGGGTGTGTGTGTAATGTGATTGGGTGGGCATGGCCAACTCTTTTTTTTTAATTTTAACTTTTCAAAGCATTTTTTCTGCAAGTGCAAAAAAATGCTTTGAAAAGCCTCTGCCGATCAGGAATACAGCTGGGATCCTCAGAGCCTTTTTAAAGCATTTTTTTAACCACCTCTTCCCCGGAAGAGGTTGCAGAAAAAAATCCTTTAAAAGTCTCTCTGATGATCCCAGCTGAGTTGCCTGATCGTTTTAAAAAATGCTTTGAAAAGTCTCTCTGACGATCAGGCAACTCAGCTGGGATCATCAGAGAGACTTTTAAAGGATTTTTTTCTGCAACCTCTTCCGGGGAAAAGGGGGTTTAAAAAATGCTTTGAAAAGACTCTGAGATCCCAGCTGAGCCGCACGATCATCAGAAGCTTTTTTTTAAACTTTTAAAAGCATTTTTTCGGCAGAAGAAGTTGTAGAAAAAATGCTTTTAAAAGTTTTTAAAAAAGCCTCTGATGATCGTGCAGCTCAGCTGGGCATGGGGGGGGGGCGCAGGGATTTTTGCTACCGGTTCTCCGAACCACCCGCCGCAGGGCCAGATTTAGATGAAAAGAGGCCCTAGGCTATTCCACTTATGAGGCCCTTTCACCTATAGTGAAAGTGTAATTTTAATTTTGCTAACAATTTGAATGTAGGCCCCTCTTGATCTTGAGGCCCTAAGTTGAAGCCTAGTTAGCCTATAGGAAAATCCGGCCCTGACCCGCCGCCATCGCTACCGGATCGGGCGATCCAGTCCGAACTGGGAGCATTTCACCTCTGGTTTGGGGTTCTCTACCATATTACTCATGGAAATCTAACCAAGTCTTACAGTATGTGAAGCTCTCCTCGTAATGCGATGTCAGCTTCATTAGAATGCATAATTTTCTTTTCCCTGCATTCTTCAATTAGGCTTTAGCCATCAATCAGAGAGACGCTTGGTCTGTCCACGCTTTGGCTCACGTGAACGAAATGAAAGCGGATTTAAAGAGTGGGCTGGCATTCATGAAGCAAACGGAAAACAACTGGAAGGTAATCGTCTTCTTATCTGTTTTTTTTCTAAAATGGCCGCCAGCTTCATCTTGGCCTGAAGGGCTTGTGGCACTTTTTTGGCATGTGTCACATTGCGTGGCAATAGTGGTTCCTTATAGGGTGCCTACAGGTTGGTCAAAAGAGTCAAGATGGTGACTGAAGCATTGCCCCTGCTTTATGTCCATGTGGAGAGCTGTTTCAAGGGTCCTTATTATTTTATTTATTTATTTTTATATGCCGTCCTTCTCCGGAGACTCAGGGCAGCTTACAATGCGTTAAGCAATAGCCTTCATACTTTTGTATATTTTATACAAAGTCAGCTTATTGCCCCCACAAACCGGGTCCTCATTTTACCCACCTTAGAAAGGATGGAAGGCTGAGTCGACCTTGAGCCTGGTGAGAATTGAACTCGCAGTAATTGCAGGCAGCTGGATGTGAAAAGCTGCCTTAGCAGGAGGCATTAGCCTCCTACGCCACTCAGGCTCCTAATGTAGATCATTAGCGGATTTTGAGTGCTTTTATCAATATCTTAGATTTCTGTGGCACTTTAGAGGCTCGATTTATTATTGGGGCCTTGCGTGTGATCAGTTTTGCTATCCCTGGATAGTTCACAGGAGACAGATTAGGAAACCAAAATAAGCAAGGAAATGAAATGGTCCATGTTTGGTGATCCATCGTGCAAGCAGCTAAAGCAGGGCTGTGAAACTCAAGGCCCGTGGACCGGATATGGCCCACAGGATGCTTAGATCTGGCTTGTGGGACTGCCCCTCTGCTCCATTTTTGCTGGCAGAGGGCTGCAGGAGGCTATTGTGGCCAAAAACAGCCCAAAACCGTGCGCGACCCCCCCCAGGGCTCTGTTTTCGCTGGCAAAGAGCTGCAGGAGGCCGTCGTGGCCAAAAACAGGGTCCAGGGGGGGCCACGCGCAGCCCCACAGAGCTCCGTTTTTACTGGCTACCAAAACAACCTAAAAACAAAACAAAAGGAGAAATGTTTCCTCTTTTGCATTTGAGCATGCAAGAAGGGACAGGAAAGGGAAAGAGGAAAGACAAAGAAAAAAAAGGGAAGTTGGGAAGAGAGCAAGGAAGGAAAAAGAAAGAAAGTTGGGAAGGAAGAAAAAAGGAGAAGGAAGAGGGAAGGAAGGGAAGGAAGGAAGGAAGGAAGATTATAATGAGAGGGAGAGAGCGTCTGAGGGAAGTCCTGTCTTAGCACTTGGCGCTCCTGGCACGAGTGACATTGAACTGGCCACGCCTACCCTGGCCACACCCACCCCGCCCCCCTGCCCCCGAGGTCAAACACAACCCTGATGCGGCCCTCAATGAAACAGAGTTTGACACCCCTGAGCCGGGGGTGGGTTTCACTTACCTTTGCTACTGGTTTGCTCATGCGTGTGCCCCATCTGCACATGTGCAGAAGCTTCTGCGCATGCGCAGATCGTATTTGATGACATGTGGGGGGGTGGGCGGAGCCTCCCACCACTGCCGCTACAGGTTCGCCCGAATCGGGGCGAAAGGATTGGTGGTGAGCAAACTCCCCATTCAGATCTTGTCACTCTCGCTACATTGGTGGCAGGTCTTGGCCAAGTGACTGTTTGCTTAACTCCATCCTTCAGGAATATGGAAGTTGAAATCCTGATCTATCGTAGCAGACTGTTCTGAGAATGAATATTGCCACAGGGGCTGTCAGCATCAGGAAAGGGATGGGGGGGGAATGTTTCACATCTGGAACATCAGCATACAAGACCAAACTCTTTGGCCTTTGGGTTGATCATCCTGGCATTTCTCTAATGATAGTTTCCGATAATGTGATTTTGGAGGGTGTTTTTTTTCTGGTTACACCAGAATAAGTTTCTACCTTATAATGATCATGCTTTTTTTATTCCAGGACAGTGATATGCTTGCTTGCCACAATTACTGGCATTGGGCTTTATACTTTATTGAAAAGGTAAGCGGATTCTTCCAGCACTATCTATCCTTTCAGAAGGGGTCAAATGCAGTGGTAGGTTTCAAATTTTTTTACTACTGGTTCTGTGGGCGTGGCATGGCTTGGTGGGTGTGTCTTGGTGGGCGTGGCAGGGGAAGGATACTGTAAAAATCTCCATTTCCTCCTGATCAGCTGCGACTCCGGAGGCAGAGAATAGATGGAGGCGGGGCCAGTCATAGGTGGTATTTACTGGTTCTCCGAACTACTCAAAATTTCCGCTACCGATTCTTCAGAACTGGTCAGACCCTGCTGAAACCCACCTCTGGTCAAATGAAAGTGAAAATTTGGCATTCCAAATGTGTTTTTTTTTTCTTTTCAAGTGGCAAGTGGCAACTAGACGTCCTTGTTTTTCTTTGAAGACGTTTCGCTTCTCATCCAAGAAGCTTCCTCAGCTCTGAAGAAGCTTCCTGGATGAGAAGCGAAACATCTTCAAAGAAAAACAAGAAAGTAAAGTTGCCTGTTGGAAAGAAAACAAACTACTTTTGAAACAACCATGACCTGGATGTCTGAGAATCTCCATAGACATTTAGAAAGTTGGCATTGTCACCGAGCAGTAGAAATAGAACAAGATGTTAATCAGACCCTTTGGTGAAAGTATATCTTGCTCTAGATGGGCAACTGGGATGGAATCGGGGCCATTCGCCAGCACTTAAAAGTCAAAAGTTGCGTTATGATCATGAGGGTCAACCATGGATTTCGCTTTGACAACAAAATGACCTTGGGGCAGATGTGGCATCCAGTTTGTGTGTGTTTTTGCTGAGTGTGGTGTAGTATTTCTAGTGGGATGATGGGACCTGTTGCATACGTATGGCTATTTCTGTTGTGACCCAGGCCCAAGTAGGTAGTATTAGACGCAAACATTTCCAAAACAAACAGACTTTATTAGAACAGCTGAGAATTAACTCATTCTCAGGGTAGTCCAAACTAAATTAAAACAAATTCTTCTTAACACAAATTCTTCAGTCTAATCACCAACCTTGGTATAATTAGGCAAACTGCCAAAGGCTTCTCCTGGCAAAAGTTCAGAAGCAGAAGACACCGACCAGAGATAAATGCAGCAAGACAAGAACAAGTCTATCAGTGTTGTTTTCCGACAAAGAGCCCAAGAGCCGTTGCTGGTCTTTTAAGCCTTATGGGAGGGGTCAATCATCTCCTGGCCTTACTCCCGAGTCGTCCTCTTTGCTTTAGCTGCTCTTGCCTTCTGACAGCTCTTCTCATGCGTGCACTAGGAACAGGCTCCTCCTGTTCCTCTGCCTCTCTACTGTCAGCCTCTGGAGGCTCTGGAGTCCGCACCTCACTCCCCGATGGCCCTGGCCCCATCAGACACAGAGCCCTCATCCGGGACTTCCCCAGTCTCCAGGACTGGCCCATGTTCTTTCTCAGCCTCATCGCTGTCCGACTCCGCTGCCAGCTCCGCAGGCTGCTGGCGGACCACAACAATTTCCTGAAGCTGATGGTGGCAGTGATTTTAACAACCACAGTGCAAGGAAGACTCACATTAAAGGGCTGGACCAAGAAAATCTTCTTCCCTTGGCTAGTTTGGCTAGTCTAGAGAAATGAAGGACTAAGGATGACATGATAGCAGTGTTCCAGTATTTGAGAGGTTGCCACAAAAAGGAAGGGGGTCAACAAGAGGTAGGATTCTACCGGTTCAGACTGGTTCGGGCGAACCGGTAACTCCAACGATCAGCTGGGAGTGAATCGGTTCTCTCCGACAATCAGCTGGGCCCATCCCCCCCGCCCCTGTGCTTTACTTACCTATATCTTCGCAGCTGATTAGCGCGGCAGAGCAGATTGCCCTGCCTCAGCTGTTTTAATTCCCTAGCACTAACGCGGAAGGTGATTTTTCGTTCAATTGCGCACGTGAGGCACGCTATCACCGAACTGGTTGTTAAACCGGTAGGATCCCACCACTTGGGATCAAGTTATTTACCAAACCACCTGAAGGCAGGACAAGAAACAATGGATGGAAACTAATCAAGAGAGAAGCAACCTGGAACTAAGGAGAAACTTCCTAACAGTGAGGACAATTAGCCAGTGGAACAGCTTGCCTCCAGAAGTTGTGGATGCTTCATCACTGGAGGTTTTTAAGAAGAGACTGTCACTTGTCTGAAATGGTAAAGGGCAGTGATGGCTAACCTTTTTGCCGTCGTGTGCCAAAAGTGGGGGCAGTCGGGGGGGATTGCACGCGCGTGCCCATATCCATAATTCAATGCACCCCATCCCCCCATGCATGCGCACGTGACCCCCCCACTCTCCCCCCGCTTTTGACACACAATGGCACGGTGGGCCCATTTTTTTGCCCTCCCCAGGCTCCAGAGTCTTTCTAGGAGTCTGGGGAGGGCAAAAACAGCCTTCCCCACTCTCCCAGAGGCCCTCCGGAGGCCTGGAAACAGCCCATTTCCTGACTTCCGATGGCCCCGGACGGCCCGAAAATCAGTTGGCCAGCGCACACATGCATGCTGGACTGAGGTAGGGCAATGCATGCGTGCCCACAGATATGGCTCCGTGTGCCACCTGTGGCACCCGTGCGATAGGTTCGCCATCATGGCTATAGGGTCTCCTGATTGAGCATGGGGTAGGACTAGAAGACCTCCAAGATCCCTTCCAGCTCTATTCTGATTGATTGATTGGCCAGAAATGTGGTTTTTACAAATCATTGTTTGTTGGGCTTTTTATATTCTCCAGTTTCTTTTGGATCCCAGAGCACAGTAATTGCAAATTGGACAACAGGTTACTTGGCTTTGAACCTGAGATATTATAATTCTGATGACTTTTTTTCCTTCTTCTTCCTTCTTGTTCATATTATGATGCCTGCAGGGTGATTATGAGGCTGCTTTGACAATTTATGATGCCCACGTAAGTACTAGATTTCTTGCTTTAATTGTATTCTTATCAGTTGCGCCTCAAGCAGTGAGTTTATATTCCTGTGAAATAACTACATTTCTGTACTAAATAAAACTGGATTTGCAAATTGAGCATGCCAATATGATTTACATAATACGTGCTCCTTCTTTTTAAACAATATATAGCAATAGCAATCGCACTTAGATTTATATACCGCTTCATAGTGCTTTACAGCCCTCTAAAAGCGGTTTACAGAGTCAGCCTATTGCCCCCAACAATCTGGGTCCTCATTTTATCAACCTCGGAAGGATGGAAGGCTGAGTCAGCCTTGAGCCTGGTGAGATTCGATCTGCCAAACTGCTGGCAGCCAGTGATCAGCAGAAGTAGCCTGCAGTACTGCACTCTAACCACCGCGCCACCGCGGCTCTACCACATGCTCCTGAGTAGGCAACAAGAGAGTTTTTCAGAGTAAAGACACATTTCTCTCTACCACCAGGTTACCCAATCTCTGTTACAGGTGACCGCTAGAACAGCGGCCCCCAACCTTTGGGGCACCAGGGACCGGTTCTGTGGAGAAAGGTTTTTCCGCACATTCACTTTGCTTGCACGCGCATCTCCGCACATGTGGAGGGACTTCCGCGCATGCGCAGGTCATCAAAATTGAGACGCGATGACGTCCGGGCTGGTGGGCTGAGCATCCGGCAGCCACCGCTACCGGTTCGTGCGAGCCGGATAGAACCGGATGCATACCACCACTGTGGAGATCTCTGTATCTCTACTCCAGGGCTGTCAAACTCTATTTCATTGAGGGCCGCATCGAGGTTGTGTTTGCCCTCAGGGAGCCAGACAACATGATGTCACTTGTGTCAGGGGCACCTGTGGTGGCCCAAGTGCTCTGCCAGTGAAAAAGGGCTCCCGAGCTCCGTTTTCGGCTGCGACCCTCTGCCAGCGAAATTGGAGCTTGAGGGGGGGCATGTGTTGCCCTCACAAGTTCTGTTTTCAGCTGGGATGGTGTCCTGCAACCCTGTGCCAGAGAAAATGGAGCTCATAAGGCCCTCCATTTTCACTGGCAGAGGCACCTCGGGTCGGTCCTTTGCTGTTTCCAGGGCAGCCCCACGGGCCAGATCTAAGCACCCCGCGGGCCAGATCCGGGCCTTGTATTTGACACCCCTGCTGTACCGCCATTTAGAGATAGTCCAGATTCAGCAGTTAAGCCCTACTCTACCCTCTAGGCAGTTGTCTATGAGTCACTGCTCGCTTAGCCTGAGAAATGTGCGCGAGAAGAAAAGTCTGTGCCGTAGGAAATTGCGGTTTTTGTGGATCTCCTGTACACTTAATATATTGAGGCCCATTTTCTTGTGGGTAGCCAGTATCGTTTGAGGGCACTTCTCCTTTGATATTACTAGCACGTGTGCACTTTATTTGTCATTTAGGATTGGAATAGCCTAAAGGGTTTTCCTCTCTTCTGTGGAATCCTTTCTTTTAAACAGGAATCATAGCTGTACAGAAAACGCAAAGTAGGAATAAGGTTACAGGAAGAGGAAAGACTACCGTGTTTCCCCGAAAATAAAAGCTCCCCGGATAATAAGCCCAATCGGGCTTTTGAGCGCATGCATTAAAATAAGCCCCCCCCAAATAAGCCCTCCCTAAAAATATTTAAACGCATGTGCAGCCGATCCCCGCTATTTCCTCTGGTTAGGGTTAAGGAGGCAGAGCTGGAAATCAGGTAAAATGGCAAGAGGAGCCCCGTCTTGCTCCACGCGCCCCAAAATATTAAGACCTCCCCGAAAATAAGGCCAAGTGCTTATTTCAGGGTTCAAAAAAATATAAGACAGGGTCTTATTTTCAGAGAAACATGGTAGCTCCATCTAAACTCTTAATGATTTTGGGTTTGCAGATTGCTCCTAGCTTACAGAAGAGTGGGACCATGTTGGATGTCGTTGACAACAGTTCCATGTTATATAGGCTTGAATTAGAAGGTAAAAAAAAAAAAGAAGAGTTTGCATACCTATATTATCTAAATGTTTTCCGGAAAAGACTGCCTTCATTTTGTTTCACCTTCTTCTTTACCATTTAAGTTGATATTTATATTCCCTGTCCAACAAAAAGCTTGTTCAGCTCCAAGTGTTGGAAACTCTCAGCTGGATGTCCCATTGGAGAGTTGTGTTTAGTTTGGCAACAGTGAGCACCTGAGTGAGGAACTGAGTTATTATTTGTTTTGTTCCATTCCTTTCTGTTCTGTTTTATCCCGTCTCATCCCATTCCAGTCCAGTCTATTCCATCCCAGTCTATTCCATTCCATTCCATTCCATTCTATTCTATTCCTGTTTTATTCCTGTTTTGTTCCACCCTGTTCTATTCCATTCCATTCCATTCCTGTTCTATTCTATTCTGTTATGCTATTCTATTCTAAGGGATGCGGTGGCTCAGTAGCTAAGATGCTGAGCTTGTCAATCGAAAGGTTAGCAGTTCAGCGGTTCGAATCCCTAGTGCTGCATAATGGGGTGAGCTCCCATTACTTGTCCCAGCTTCTGCCAATCTAGCAGTTCGAAAGCCCGTAAAAAATGCAAGTAGAAAAATAGGGACCACCTTTGATGGGAAGGTAACAGCGTTCCGTGCGCCTTTGGCGTTGAGTCATGCCGGCCACATGACCACGGAGACGTCTTCGGACAGCGCTGGCTCTTTGGCTTTGAAACAGAGATGAGCATCGCTCCCTAGAGTCGGGAACGACTAGCACATATGTGTGAGGGGAACCTTTACCTTTACCTTTATTCTATTCTACTCTGCTCTACTCTGTTTTATTCTGTTCTGTTATTCTATTCTATTATTCTGTTCTGTTATTCTACTCTACTCTACTCTACTCTACTCTATTCCTGCTCAACTCTTCTCTACTCTACTCTATTCCTGTTCAACTCAACTCAACTCAACTCTACTCTACTCTACTCTACTCTACTCTACTCTACTCTACTCTACTCTACTCTACTCTATTCCTGCTCTACTCTACTCTACTCTACTCTATTCCTGCTCAACTCCATCAAGAAATACCCGAGGAACAACTGAATACAACAAATTAATCAAAACAATGCAAAAATAACCACAAAATAATCACAAGATGGCAGTCCAACAACAAAGTGGATGTTGCCTTGGACTTCAGGTCATGCAGTTGGGGTGAGGGAGAATAGCATCGTTCTCTTCTGGGAGGCAAACTGTGGCAGTCCTTGGTTTCCAAAAAGGAGTAGAAGAAAATCGTCACTGCCAAGTCGGGAGGTGGCAAAGCACAGTCTTTCTTCGGGGAAAGGAACCTGTTTTCTTCCTGAGACTGCCTGGCTTAGAAATAAGCACCCAGCAGAAGAAGACAACTCCAAAGTATACAAAGCGTTTACTTCTGTCGAAAATGTATATGGCCACCCAACTCCCTCACAGCGACTCTGGCCAGCTTACAGAAATAAAATAAATAATGTAATAAAATGCTCCTTTATTCCTAGGGGTGAATGTGGGTAAGAGGTGGAAAGCAATAAACCAGATGACGAAGAAACATGCACAGGACCACATCTTGATCTTCAACGACGCCCACATTCTGATGGCCTCCTTAGGTGCTCAGGATCAAAAAACATCCAATGAGCTTCTCACCACTTTACAGGACCTGGTCCAGTAAGTGACTCACAATGCTAACAACAGGTCTCCTTGTTCCTATCTATTCTCTAAGACGGGTGTCTGCAACCTGCAGCTCCGGAGCCGCATGCGGCTCTTGGGCTCTCTGCTGTGGCTCCCTGTCAGGTGATCCCACCACTGGCTGGCCCCGCCCCCCGCCCTCCCCTCCCGGTCACTCCTCGCCTACCCTGAGAAGGTAAGGGCGATGGCAGGGGATGGAAAAGTGGCTGGGGCAGAGACAGAGAGATACAGAGAGAGAGACAGAGAGAGATACAGAGAGAGGGAAGGGAGGGAGGGAGAGAGAGAGAGAGAGAGATGTCAAAAGGGTTTTGTAGTTTTTTAACAACCGGTTCTCTGCCCTAATGACCGGCTGGGTAGGTGTGGCTAGGGGGGTGTCATGTGACTGGTGGAAGTGGGTGACATCGAGTTAGCCACGCCCACCCAGGTTTTGTGGCTCCCGGTGTTTTCTTTTCTGTGGGAAATGGGTCCAAATGGCTCTTTGAGTGTTTTAAGGTTTTAGGCCCCTGATGTAGGGTTTCATGTGGGGTGTTTAAGAGGAGCATAAAGTCAATAGAGAAAGTGTTTTGATTTTCCAGACTAGCCTGTGGGTCGCTATTCTTATCCAAGAACTACAGGAAGTCCTTGACTTAAGGCCATAAATTGGGAGAATATTGTTGCTAAGCAGGACGATTGTTAAGTGAGTCGAACCCAGTTTTACAACCTCCTTGATCAGAGTAGCGGCAGTCCTCGACGTACGACCTCAATTGAGGCCCAAACTTCCGTTGTTAAGTGAGGCATTTGCTAGTTTGAGTTTTGCTCCACTTTACGACCTTTCATGCCACAGTGGTAAAGTGAATCGCTGCAGGTGTTAAGTCCGTAACGCGGTTGTTAAATGAATTTGACCTCTCCATTGACTTGGCTTGTCAGAAGGTTTCCAAAGTGACCCCAAGACGCTGTGACCGTCATAAGTATGAGTCGGTTGCCAAGCTTCTGAAATTTTGATCACGTGACCATGGAGATCATGTGAGCTTGAATCAGCTTAAATACATGCTTGGTTGCCAAGGGCCCAAATTTTTATCATTTGACTGTCGGGATGCTGCAGTGGTCATAAGTGCAAGACCTGATAGCAATAGCAATAGCACTTAGACTTATATACCGCTTCATAGTGCTTTTACAGCCCTCTCTAAGCGGTTTACAGAGTCAGCTTCTTGCCCCCAAATAATCTGGGTCCTCATTTGATCCACCTCGGAAGGATGGAAGGCTGAGTCAACCTTGAGCCGGTGAGATTTGAACTGCTGAACTGCAGCTAGCAGTCAGCTGAAGTAACCTGCAGTACTGCACTCTAACCACTGCGCCACCGCAGCTCAAGGATCTCTTTTTTTTTTTCCAGTGTCGTAATTTCAAACGTTTGATAAATGAATGCTTGTAAGTCAAGGACTTACCTTCAGTGACATCTTGCTAGATTTGGACAATTCTTCGCTTTGGACTTCATTCGGACTCCCTGGCCTTGCAGTGTCAGTGGCCGATGTTCAGGGTTAGTTGGTTCATTTCACACGGTCACTTCCGATCTGCGTGTCTTTCCTAGGACTCCTACAGAAGATCACGAGCTGAGCCTGGTTCCAACGTTGGGAATGCCCCTTCTACAAGCCTTTGTGGCGTTTGACCAAGGACATTACGATAAGGCAGTGGAACTGCTGTACCCCATTCGATATCAGGTTGTTAAAATAGGAGGGAGCGATGCCCAGGTGAGAAGAGAGCGGGCTTTTGCTGGCTTTTTCATCAGCGTTTTATTCCTTTATCCCAGTGGTTTCCCAAACCTGGGCCACTTGAATTATGCTGGCTGGAGAATTCTGGGAGTTGAAGTCCACACATCCTAAAAGTAGCCTCGGTTGAGAAATACTGGTTTATCCTGTGGGGGACCTCAGGAAGTAATGTCCTACACAGGTACACACACACACGGGTGGGCTACTGGGGGTTCGCAGGGGTTCGGGAGAACCTCTAGCTAAGATTTTGTGCAGTTCGGAGTACCCCCCAAATCCCACTCCTGGCTGGAACCGCCCACCCCTCCCCTCCCTTCCCAGGAGTCCCCATGCGGCCTGTTTTGGATGCAAGTTAGTGCAGGGTGCGCGCGGAGGCTCGGGGAAGGCAAATGGGTCTACTGGAAGTTCGAGAAGGCCGGAAATGGGCCTGTTTCCAGCCTCCAGAGGGCCTCCGGAGCCTGGGGAGGCCGTTTTCTCCCTCCCAGAGGCTCGAGAAAATACATGCGCGTACGCACAGAATGACCATCTGGTGCACAGTGTGCATGTGCGGCCAGCGAACCAGTAGCAAACTGGTTCGGATTTCACCACTGCCTTGCAGTCATCTTGCTAGGAGTGAATAACGTCTCTTCTACGTTTCCTTCTCTTCCAGAGAGATCTTTTTGCCCAGTTGCTGATTCAGGCTGCTTTAAAATGTAAATCTAAAGCCAACCAAAGACTTGCTAGGTAAGTACAACGAGTACTACATTCTGGATTTTACCTGGTTGAAAGATAGCAATGAACATAGAGGGGAATCGTGGTTGCAATCAGTAAGAGGAGTAGGGATTCAAATTTTGACCGGCTCGTGGTGGAAAGATCTGCAGTCGCCACCGGATAGCAAGGACCCCAACTGAGCCCAAAATGTCCTTTGCAATCATCCAAAGTTTGATCACGTGGGGATGTTGCAATGGTCACAAGTGTGAGAACAAGCCTCTACGTCACTTTTTGCCATTGTAACTTTGAATGGTCATTAAACAAATGGTTGCAACTGGAGCATAACTGTATGGATTTCAGCCGCAGAATTCTGGGATTTGAAGCCCACCCATTTAAAGTTACGGAGGTTGAGGAACATTGGGCTCAATAGTGGGTTTCAATTCAGTTTGCTACCGGTTTGCTCATGTGCATGCGCGTTCACATGAGCACACGACGCTTCTGCGCAGGCAGGTGGGCGGAGCCTCCCGCCGCCACTACTGACTCGCCAGATCCGGGGCGAACCAGTAGCAATCCACCACTGATTGGGCTAGATCAGGCATGTCAAACTCGCGGCCTGTGGGCCGTATGCATCACACGCTGGCCACGCCCACCCCCGGTTTAGCGAAGGAGGAAAAAGTCCTGATATGTCACGTGACGTGATACCGTGAGTTTGACACCTCTGGACTAGATGATCCATGAGTTCCTTCCAAGTGTAATTCTATGCCTACTTTTGATGTCTTCAAGGAAAGTTGTACTTCTTTTCACATGGCCACTCCAGGTCTTATTTGGGGGGATCCAATGATGCTTTGGGTTTTTCAGGGTTTAGAGCCCTGGTGGCACAGTGGTTAGAATGCAGTATTATTGCAGGGCTAACTCTGCCCACTGCCAGCAGTTCGATCCTCACCAGCTCTAGGTTGATTCAGCCTTCCATCTTTCCGAGATCGGTAAAATGAGGACTCAGATTGTTGGTGGGACAATACGCTGACTCTGTAATCGGCTTAGAGTGGGCTGTAAAGCACTGTGAAGCGGTATGTAAGTCTAGGTGCTATTGCTATTTAAAGAGAGTTCTTCTGTTCAATGTTTTAAGAGCCTTGTCCCTTTGTTCTTTAGATGCCTCCTTATAGAACGTGATGAATTCAGACCAAACTCGCCATTAACCGAACGACTGATGAGGAAAACAGTAGGCCTTCATGCCTTGGGCTAAACCCAACATCATATAAAGAGTCAATGAGATTGTTGTTGTCCGGACTTACATAAATCCAAGGAATTTATGCGGTTCTTCGGAAAACAGTATCTGGAAAGATTTATCCTTGCTGAGTTTTGACCCATCTCGGTCTTGTCCTATTTACTGTATTTTTTGGAGTGTAAGACGCACCGGACTATAAGATGCACCTACCTTTTTTGGTGAGGAAAAGAAGAAAAAGAAATCTCCCTCTGCCTCTTCCTCTTAGCAATTTTGCCTCGTTGCAGCAAACAGCCTGCTTTACTTTCATTTTCGTTTTTAGCATAGCTTGATTAGCACAAGGGGAAAAAAAATCTGCTGCAAGGAAGAAGCAATTTTCTTCCTTGCAGCAAAGCGGCAGAGCCCTGCCTAAGACAGCTGAGAGCAAAACAGCTGAGAGTCGGGAGGCTGATCCAATCAACTTGTGCTAATTAGGCTGTGCTGAAGCTGAAAGGAGCTGTTTTTTCTTGCGGTTTGCTGCAAGGAGGTAACTGCTGGGAGGCAGAGGCCAAAGGGTGGGGGCCAGTGGGTGGACGGGGCTACATTCAAATTTTCACTCCCTTTTAGGGGAGGAAAAGATGCGTCTTATACTATTGAAAAGTACGGTAGTTCTTTGAATCCTAGCTGCTTCCATGCATCTCTACAGAAGCAAAAGGTAGCCAGATATAGAAGGTTGTCTGCTTATGGTCTGTTGGCAACGCTAATTTACAAATAACTATTTTTAAAAAATCAATGGGGTATAATTAAAAGCTTTTGGGCTGCAGAACTATCAAATAAACATTTGGTTATTCAGAAAGTACAAGTTTATTGCCTATTTGTGAAAAAGGTTTAAATTCCAGATTTCAAACATGTTTACAAGCACAGAAACAGAGCATAAAAGTGTCAGTAAGCAGCACTATCAAAAACTTTTCTGCTGCATTTTGCAATATACAATGTACACAATCTAGTCTATGGAGCCTGTTGAATGTTTCCACTATCCCCAAAATAAGGTTCAGGCGGTCCTTGACTTGACACCACACTTGGGAACTGACGATCTGGTCACTAAGAAAGTCACTGGACCGGATTTTACAGCCATTTTTACTCCCGTCGTTAAGCGAAGCACCACTGTTATTAAGCAAATCAACACGGTTGTTAAGGGAAACCGGCTCCGCTTCTCAGAAGCCAGCTGGGAAAGTTGCAAATCATGACCATTTGACTGCAGGATGGTGCAACTGCTCATCAATGCGTATTGGTTGCCAAGTGCCCCAATTGCAATTGCGCGATTGTGGGGCGGGTATGTGTGTGTGTGTGTGTGTGTGATGCAACAGTCATTAATTTTGAAGACAGATTGCGGTCACTTTTTTTTCATTGCTGTCATAATTCCAAACAAAAGCTCATAAAGGGGACCAGTTGTAAAAGATTTTCTCTGCTATAATACGTATTTATGTACGTATTGGAATTATAAGCTCCTTAGGCAGACATGCAGGACCGTAATCTGTCATCTGCGCAGCTGACTTTCTAAGACGCATCTGACTCAGACTTTTTTTACTACCGGTTCTGTGGGGCGTGGCTTATTTTGTGGGCGTGGCTTGATGGTCATGTGACAATTATTTAGGATTTAGCAGAGGTACTGGTCTACCAGGCTTTTAACTGCTTGCAGAGCTGTACCGATCTACCCATTTATTTTTGCAGGCACTGATCTACTCATGTATTTTTGCAGACACTAATCTACTCATGTATTTTTGCAGACACTGGTCTGCCCATTTGTTTTTGGAGGCACTGGTCTACTCATTTATTTTTGCAGGCACCAGTCTACTCACTTGTTTTCTTTTAACACTGATCAGCTGTAGGGCAGCCCTTTGAAGCCTCCTGGCAAGAGTTTAAACAGTTTTTTCCCTCTAGCCATCAGCTAGGACTCAGGAGCCAGCAATAGATTGGGGGTGGGCCAAATAAAAGGTAAGAATAATGCGGAGAGGCAGGGGGGCAGAACCGGTTCGGTGACGTCATATCGTCACCGCTACCGGCTCGGCCGAACCGGGCTGAACCGGGAGGAACCCACCGCTGATCTGACTGCACCCACACACACATTGACCAACCTGTCATGCTAAATCTCCTTTTCCCATGAGTCTTCAGTTCATGTGCGCTACTGACAAAATTTGCAACCAGCTTCTTCTTCTTGTGCCCTATCTGTCATCGGACATGGGCAATCATGTTGGCAATCCTATTTTTATCAACAGCCGCACGGAAAAGTGCTGCCGAGTTTTGTCCAAACCAGTCAGTCCCTTAGATTTTGAAGCCATGATCTTCTTCTTCTGCCTGGACCTCGTTTGCCTTCAATCTTTTCTTGGAGGATTAAGTCCTCAATTTACCTACCTTAGAAAGGATGGAAGGCTGAGTCAACCGTGAGCCTGGTGAGATTCGAACTTACAGTAATTGCAGACAGCTGGTGTTAATCACAATGCTATCAGTCTGCTGAGTCATCAGGCCCTAGTTTCTGCATGCAAAACATCACTTGGAAGGATGGGTAAAGAACTAAGCCTTTTGTCAGTGATCATACAATACTCAAGGATCCTCAACTGGAAATCCGTGACCGGAAATGAAAGCACGACACCTCTCCCCCCCCCCACAAATTCTTCCCTCGCCCTGCCAGGGAGACCCTCTCCTTGGTTGTGGCTAACTGAACAGTGGAGATGTCTTTTGATTTTTTTTTTTAGATTAGCTAATGCATGGAATACTTTTATTTTGCCAAGTGGGATTAGACACACCAGGAATGTTTCTCCATGGTGCAGATGATCAGTGTACATGCAAAGCAACAGAATGATGATAATACAATACCAATAAGAGGGAGGAGTAAGAAGGATAATAAGGATAAATAATGATGCTACAGCCATGCTACATGGGGAAATATGCGTAGACATTAGACCAGGGGTCTCCAACCTTGGCAACTTTAAGACTTGTAGACTTCAATTCCCAAAACTCCTCAGCCAGCTTTGTTTTGCTGGCTGAGGAATTCTGGGAGTTGAAGTCCACAACTCCCTGCCTGCTTGATTGCAGGCAGGGAGTGGCTTGCTGATGGAATGGATTCAGGCAAGCGAAGCAAGGTAAGCAAGCTGGAGGGGGAAAACTTTTTTCCTTTTACAGGGCTCTGGCGATCCCAGCTGAGTTGCCTGATTAGCAGGCGAAGCTGGGATCGTCAGAGCTTGGATCGCCAGAGCCATTTAAGGCTCGTCAGAGCCTTTCGGGCTGGTCTGCCTGGTTACAGGAGAACGACACCCGGCGTATAAGATAACCCCCGACTTTTGAGAAGATTTTCATGTGTTAAAAAGTCGTCTTATACGCCGGAAAATACGGTATTTTGGCCTGCAATGCCTTATAGCGCCATCCTGAGGAAAGGACCTAAAACAGTGTATGTCTCTAGGATGTGTCACCTGCAAATTGCCCAAATGTACACACGAGCATAAAAAAACAAAAACAAAAACGACTCACTTGCTAAAATTAACATTTTATTCATGAAGCAATTTTAGCAGGGAAGTAAAAAAGTAGTACAAAAAAATCAGTACAGAAGCTCTCAATTTAGGACCACAGGAATTTCTGTCGCCAAACGAAGGGATTGTAAATTATGTGACTACACCGACTTACGACAGCAATCAGGGTCTTCCTTGTTGCAGTCATTAAGCGACTACCCACACCAAGCCAAATCACTTTGGTCTCACCCAGCCCTGAGCCTTGGTAAGGGGCTTGTCTTCAGCTCCCCCACTCCATCCATCTTGTTCCTTTTGGCTGCCCTGCGCCCTGCCTTTGTGGGGTGGCGGGCAGCTCTAGAACTGTACCATTCGGGGACTAGTGGCAATATCCCTCGGAAGCCACGGCCATCTCATCCCAGTCACCCTTGCTCCTTACACTCCGAGACCCTGCCACCTGCACTCTGCCATTTTCTTAATTCCACTGCTATGAGGCGTGCCCAGCTGCCAGGTGTGGGAAAGAAAAAACCCCCAAAACCAGTGCCTAGTTTGGTATGCTGTGGTTCAGACTGATTTTGGCATTTATTTTTCTTTCCGCAGCCAAAGTCCAGCTCAGTAGCCAGGGCCAGCTCCCCTCATTAGCAGTAGGTGCAAGATTGAGGAGATCAGCTAAGGTGGTAGAGTGCAGAGCAGGAGGGCATATAAACAGGGGAGAGAGGCAGTTGGTGGTGAGAGTTAAAGTGCCCCTTTAGTCATAATTGTGAATGGGCTGCCAAGTCCCCGAATTCTGACCACGTGAGTGACACTGCAACAGCTGTTAACTTCAGGTCTGGGTCTTAAGTCTCTTTGCTTAGGAACATTATTCACTGAACAAAAGGCTCATCAGTTCAAGGATTATCTTTATAAAGTGGCAGAGGTTTTCTTTCTAAGGCACAACTACATGTTTCTTGATATCCAGGGTTTAACGCCATCCCCAATCCTAGCACTTCTATTACCACAATGACGTTTTTCAAGCCAAATGGCAAAAATTAGCATCGCATTTTCCCAATATTCATGTTGTATAATCCAATATGCAAAAAACAAGGAAATGTAATACTAATCTTGTCTAAAATGAAAAAGCGAGGGTCACATGTTTGCTAAACTGAAAATACGAAACTGCTGAAATTGGAAAATTGCCAGAAAGCGTTACATCAAATCATTAAAAGAGAAAACGGAGGAGGATATGCATAGAAACATGATTGTGTTAGCTGAAATAGAAAACGAAGAACTTTTCATCACGGATCCAGAACCACAGGTATATTTTTAAACCACTGGATCTTATGGCTGATGCGAACTTTACATGTATACGCGGAGCAAACAGGAGTTTCTTTTGATAATCACTCACTGTATGTCTTCAGTAATAACAATTTGCATCCGTCTAGGAGGACAATAGTTTGTCCAGCCTTATTGATGGATTAAACACCCATCCATAATAAACGTCATATATTAAAAGCTAAAGGGGAAAAAAACTTTGTTTACTAAGAAACGAAGATAGTAAAAATGGATTAAAACCCCATAATTATTATTTTTTTACAAATTTTCGGTATTCTTTCTTAAAACATCTTTGTGATAAAAATAGAGTTGCGTTTCTATCCATCAACAATAGCGATTCAGCCTTTCATACTCCGCTGAAGGTATATGATTGGTTCTATAAAATTGGGTTGATTTGAAAAAGAGGGCCATAGGCATTTAAACTGCTAAGAAGATTATGGTAATGTAAAGGCATCTTTTTAAGATAAAATACATTTCTTTTCTTCCCTGTAAAAGATAAGATACGCAGGATAAGCCTGATGCTTCTCAAAAATGACGAAGATCGATGGGTTTAATGTGTTATCCACACAGCTGTCGTAAGAGTTGAGCACGTCGGTCAATTTCGCTGGTGGGCGAGTGTATATCGGATGCCCCACGACAAATTCACCCACTAGAACTTGAGCTAAAAACATCATCTTCTCATCCTCCTTCACCGGACAGTAGTTATCTGAATAACTGGCATCTCTGGCAAAGTAGCTTCCTGAAAAGCAGCACAGGGGGGGAAAGAATATTCAAATTGCTTCACACAGACAGAACAATTCCTTGACTCTAAACCCAGGGGTGACAAATTCACAGAGTGCTTAGATCCGGCCTGTGGGCCTGCCCTGAAAACAGCAAAAGACCGGCTCGTGGTGCCTCTGCCAGCGAAAATGGCGCTCAGGAAGGCCACACACAGGCCTCCTGGGCTTAGTTTCTGGCCACGACAGCCTCCTGTGGCCCTGTGGCCCTCCCGGGCTCAGACAAAAAGCCCCCCCCTCCCTGCCTGCCATGGTGCAGGAGGCTGACTAGGCCATGGCCACGGCCGCCCAGCAACCGGGCAGAGAACCCCTTGCTAAAATTTTTGAAGCCCACCCCTGCCCTTCACACTTCAAACGAGGCCACCGCCCTAACGTTTCTCACAGCCTCTTGTTCCAAATACCGACCAGATCTTCCTAAACTTCAGAGAGCCTATCAAGAGCCTTGATAGTACAGTGGTTTAGTGCACCCTGTCATTAACACAGCTGCCTGCAATTTCTGCTGGTTCGAATCTCTCCAAGGCTCAAGGTTGACTCAGCCTTCCATCCTTTCTAAGGTAGGTGAAATGAGGACCCAGTTTGTGGGGGCAATAAGCTGACTTTGTATAAAAATATACAAAAGAATGAAGGCTATTGCTTAGCGCATTGTAAGCCGCCCTGAGTCTCCGGAGAAGGGCGGCATATAAATCAAATAAATAAATAAATAAAAAAAGTCAGTGAAATGCTGCCCCCTAGTGGGTCGAAAGGAAGAGCAGCTCAGCATTATCTGTCTTCCCTGAGGGAACAAAGCTCCTTTCTGGTTTGGGTCCAAGCACCTTACCTTTCCCATAAACGGTCCCATTTGTGCCACAGAGTCTCCAGTCAAAGTTGTCTGTGCAGATGGCTTTCAAGCTAGAAGGGCTTGTCCCATGGAAGAGAAGCCTTTCGTCAATAAACTGTCCAATCTTCTTCTTCATCATCTGCTCTTTTTGCCTAGAACAAAGGAAAGATTTATCTTGTTCTACCAACGTTGAAGCTGAAGGCAATTATGTTCCTCCATAGGGGATGGACTGCCTCTTGGCTCAGCACCACAGAGAAAAGGGGGCACTTAAGAGGGCAAGCTTTCTAGGACGAAGGAGAGAAGGATGGACCATGTCTGATGAGAACCACATTCTACCAGAAAATGAGCTACAAGCAAGAGAAAATAGAAATAGAATAACAGAGTTGGAAGAGACCTTGGAGCTCTTCTAGTCCAACCCCCTGCTTAGACAGAAACCTTACACCACTTCAGACAAATGGTTATCCAACATCTTCTTAAACATTTCCAGTGTTGGAGCATTTACAGCTTCTAGAGGCAAGTTGTTCCACTGATTAATTGTTCTCACTGTCAGGAAATTTCTCCTTAGTTCTAAGTTGCTTCTCTCCTTGATTAGTTTCCACCCATTGCTTCTTGTCCTGCCCTCAGGGGCTTTGGAGAACAGCTGGACTCCCTCTTCTTTGGGGCAGCCCCTGAGATATCGGAACACTGCTATCATGTCTCCCCTGGTCCTTCTTTTCATTAAACTAGACATACCCAGTTCCTGCAACCGTTCTTCATATGTTTTAGCCTCCAGTCCCCTAATCATCTTTGTTGCTCTTCTCTGCACTCTTTCTACAGCCTCAACATCTTTTTTACATCGTGGTGACCAAAACCGGATGCAGGATTCCAAGTGTGGCCTTACCAAGGCATTAGAAAGTGGTATCAACACTTCACATGATCTTGATTCTATCCCTCTGTTTATGCAGCCTAGAACTGTGTTGGCTTTTTTGGCAGCTGCTGCACACGGCTGGCTCATACCATGTTTCCCCAAAAATAAGACCCTGTCTTATATTTTTTTGAACCCTGAAATAAGTACTTGGCCGCATTGCCATGCGCTCAGAAGCCCGACTGGGCTTATTATCAGGGAATGACTTATTTTGGGGGAAAAAGGGTATTTAAATGGTTGTCCACTAGGACTCCAAGATCCCTCTCACAGTTACTACTATTGAGCAAGGTACCACGTATACGGTACCTGAGCATTTTGTTTTTCTTGCCTAAATAGCTTCCCCTTTCTTTGCTCATCAGAAGGTCACAGAAGGGGATCGCATGATCCCGGAACCGTCATAAATGTGAGTCAGTAGCCAAGCATCCCGATTTTGATCACGTGACCACAATGGTCATCAGGGTGAAAAATGGTCATAAGTCACTTTTCACATTGTAACTTTGAATGGTCACTAAACAAACTTTTGTAAGTTGAGGACTACCTGTACTCCTCACTTTTAATTCATCTGCCTCCTTTTTGGGGGGGGGGGGGAGACCCTACCCGATTTTTTTAAAAAAGGAACTATTTTGGATCCTAAAAGGTCATCAGTGTTACGTACTTTTCAAAAACTCTAATGAAGTTGAGTTGACTCCCATAATCGAGTCAATTTACTTTTGCTAGTTTCTCTATCATTTATTTTACCCCTCAGTCTAAGAAATTGTGCTTGGAAGAGACCTTGGAGGTCTTCTAGTCCAACCCCCTGCTCAAGAGTCTTGGTGGCGCAGCAGACTAAATTGCTGTTAAGTAGCACCAGCTGCCTGCAATTACTGCAAGTTCAAATCTCACCAGGCTCAAGGTTGACTCAGCCTTCCATCCTTCTGAGGCAGATAAAATGAGGACCCAGTTTGTGGGGGCAATAAGCTGACTTTGTATAAAAAAGAACATCGCTGGGGGGGGGGGGCAAAGCCTTAAGCAGGTATATACAAAAGTATGAAGACTATTGCTTAACGCATTGTAAGCCGCCCTGAGTCTCCGAAGAAGGGCGGCATATAAATCGAACCAAATAAATGAATAAATAAATATGCAGGAGACCCCATAGCTTCACAGGGATTCGCTTCTGGTCATAGGACAGACAGAAATCATGCAGGCACGTAGCTTGATGGTATTCCAAACATTATTTAAAATTGAGCTTTTTGGGGGAGATTATCTGGACAATGATCAGGCTGGCATTGAGCAATTAGCCTCGTGGTGCGACCAGAACAATCTGGAACTGAACACACTCAAAACCATAGAAATGGTGGTAGACTTTAGGAGAAACCCTCCCATACCACTACCTCTTACCATACTAGACAACACAGTATCAACAGTAGAGACCTTCAAATTTCTAGGTTCTACCATATCTCACAACCTAAAATGGACACCCAACATCAAAAATGTCATCAAAAAAGCACAACGAAAAATGTTCGTTGTGCGCCAACTCAGAAAGCTCAAACTGCCCAAGGAGCTGCTGATCCAGTTCTACAGAGGAATTATGGAGTCTGTCATCTGCACCTCTATAACTGTCTGGTTTGGTTCTGCAACCCAACAAGACAGACACAGACTTCAGAGGATAATTAGAACTGCAGAAAAAACAATGGCTACCAACCTGCCTTCCACTGAGGACCTGTATATTGCACGAGTCAAAAAGAGGGCTGTGAAAATATTTACAGACCCCTCACATCCTGGATATAAATTGTTTCAACTCCTACCCTCAAAACGATGCTATAGAGCACTGCACACCAGAACAACTAGACACAAGAACAGTTTTTTCCACAAATGTCAACACTCTGCTAAACAAATAATCCTCAGAACATTGCCAAACTATTTACTAAGTCTGCACTACTATTAATCTTCTCATTGTTCCTATCACCCATCTCCTCCCACATATGACTGTATGACTGTAACCTTGTTGCTTGTATTTTTACAATTCATATTGACTGTTTCCTAATGTGATTTGATTGCTTATTTGTACCCTATGACTATCATTAAGTGTTGTACTTTATGATTCTTGACGAATGTATCTTTTCTTTTATGTACGCTGAGAGCGTATGCACTGAAGACAAATTCCTTGTGTGTCCAATCACACTTGGCCAATAAAGAATTCTATTCTATTCTATTCTATTCTATTCTATTCTATTCTATTCTATTCTGTTCTGTTCTGTTCTGTTCTGTTCTGTTCTGTTCTGTTGTTTTGCAGCTAATTATGACAACGTTTTGTGGACTGCACATTCTTATTTTTTATTCAATTAATTACTGAGAAACTTCAGTGTCTATAGGGCAATGTTTCTCAAACAGGGCCACTTTGAGATGTGTGGACTTCAACTCCCAGAATTCCCCAGCCAGCATGTAGCTGCCAAATTCTAGGAGTTGATGTTCACCCATCTGAAAGTGATCAAGCTTCAGAAACACTGCTATAGACTAGGTATAAAAATGAAAGATATCATCCTCTTTTAAGAACGCCATAATCGGAGTTGGAGTCTGGGCAACTGGATGGAGCTGAGTGTTTACTGGCCAGATGCCCTTCCTGTTGCCAGTGCAGAGGTTTTTTCAGCAGATATATTCTCAGTGTGCCAAGAGAGAGAAATATCTGCCTCTACCTAGGATCGAACTCACAGCCTCCTGATTGTGAGGCGAGAGCTCCACCTCTAGGCCACCGCACCACCCATATAAAAATTAAAGATATGCATCTAATAAATTTTGAAGGTCTGGGTAATTTATGCTCTGGGTAATTCAATGGAGGTAATAAAATGACTGCCTTAAGAAATCACAATGCTCGGCTTCTTGTAACATTGATAGCAATTATGTAATAAAATAAAATACAAACCACTGGTAGACTTGCCAAAGAGATGGGTTCTGAATTCGTTCTATCTTGCGGATTTTATAGTTTTTCATCGTCATCTGAAAGAGATTCTCAATTTTCAAGAACTCCGGAGAACCTCTCTTGAGTTCAATGACCTAAAACCAAAGATATTACGAAGTGTTGAAGACATTCGTGGTCATGACAAAGATAAGAGCCGAGGTGGCGCAGTGGTTAAAGTGCAGTACTGCAGGCTACTTCTGCTGATCACCGGCTGCCAGCAGTTTGGCAGATCGAATCTCACCAGGCTCAAGGTTGACTCAGTCTTCCATCCTTCCGAGGTGGGTAAAATGAGGAGCCAGATTGTTGGGAGCAATAGGCTGACTCTGTAAACCGCTTAGAGAGGGCTGTAAAGCACTGTGAAGCAGTATATAAGTCTAAGTGCTATTGCTATGACTCCAGAAAGAAAGGGAATGATTTATTCAATTTAAATTCCCAAATTGGAATACTTGGAATCCTACAAATTGAGTTCACATCAGAGTTGGAAAGACTACCGAGCATCAACCCTGGCCTGAATAGGTTTTATGGGTTAGTTTTTTTTAATTGTATAGCTAGGGGTTTTAAATTGGGAAGCCGTTTAATTTAATTTATTTTTAATTATCTTAACTTTTATATTGTATGTTATTTTAATTCTCGGCTGTTTACCGCCCTGAGTCCCTTCGGGGAGAAGGGCGGGATATAAATTTAATAAATAAATAAATAAATACCCCCCCCCCCCCATGTACAAGGGCATTATATCATGTTTTTTCCTCAGATTGCTACTCTTCTCTTCTTTATGTTTTGACTTTTTATGAAAACCACAAAAGACCACAGAAGTAATGAAGCTATAAATGAGTACCTCCTCCTCCCCAGAATTTCCACCAGTCAGCCTTTTAAGGAGCAGGTTGTGAGGGAAATAAACTTATTTTTACAATTCAAACTTACATATTCTAATGTATTTCTGGATAGTTTAATGCAAGCCTAAAGATGACATATGCTTTTCAGACACCTACATACTATTTTTCATTAATTCACCTAGAATATTAGATTTTATTCAGGTGAAAGCTTTTCTCCAGCACTTCATTACACTGCAATATAAAGTTTCTATAAAACAGGGAACAGGGCAGTAATAAATATACATGAAAAAGATGCAAATAACACCAAGAAATCCATTACCGCGTATCCAATAGCAGGTAGAGCTGTGTTATCCCAGTTTGGAGGGTAAGTTGGAGTTGTTACGGGAGACGTTATGCGTGCAGGAGTTGTTGTTGTTGTTGTTGTTGCTGCTGCTGCTGCTGTTGCTGTTGCTGTTGCTGTTGCTGTGTGTCTGGGTACAAGCAAAAGAAAAAGTGTGAGGGACAATGGTCAATCTGCTTCATCTAGTTCCAACTACAAGAACCACTCGGGGGAAAAAGCAAAAGTCATAGTAGGACTCTACCTTTTCAAGAAATTAGAAAAAAAAGGAACAAAGCAAACTGAAGCATGGGATCTTAATTACCGTATTTTTGGACTATAAGGCGCACCTGACTATAGGACGCACCTTAATTTAGAAGAGGAAAACAACAACAAAAAAGTTTTTGGCCTCCGCGCACCCCATTTTTGGCCCTTTTCCAGCCTTTTTTCGCCCTGTTCTTTCTGGAAAAATGGGCTGAAAAAAGCCTTGGTAATGGGCTGAAAAAAGCCTCAAAAACGGGGTGAAAAAACCTTCAAAAACAGACCGAAAAACCTTCAAAAATGGACTGAAAAAAAGCCTCCAAAACAGGCCGGAAAAAAGCCTCCAAAACAGGCCGGAAAAAAGCCTCCAAAACAGGCCGGAAAAAACCTCAAAAAGGTTTTTTGGCTGAGAAAAGCCCTGAAAACGGGCCAAAAAAAAGGCCTGAAAAAGGCCCCAAAAAATGGCGGGCGGGCGAAGCTTCAGCAATATTCGGTCTTTAAGATGCACGGACATTTTCACACCCTTTTGGGAGACAAAAAGTGTCTTATAGTCCGAAAAATATGATAGATTCTGAGATCCCCACACCCCTCTACTTTACCCTTTCTTTGACTTGACATCTTCAGAGGAAACAAACTTGGGACGTCTTCGGACCTCCCGTTGGGTAGGATAATTCACATTTTTCTGGGTCATATCTCGAGAAAGAGGATAGAATGTTTTTAGGTTTAAAGGGAAAAAAAACCCCAAAAGTCACTGACTATGCCTAGAGAAAAGATGCAGAAAAAATATATGGAGTGATGCTTTTATCCCCATATCAGATTTGAACTAAATCTCAAAAGCTGGAGTAGCACCTAGGGCCCTGCAAAAACTTGCAAACGCCAAAGTCCCATTTTTGACTTCTGGAACTTTCTTCTTTTTGGAAGATAACCTAAATGTTACAGAGGATTAAGGCCCTCATTTCGTCTCCACAAACTGGAGTGATTTTAGTCTTCATCTCCCTCTTCCCTATGCAAAAAAAAAAAAAAAAAAGCCAGTAATTCTGACTCTTCCCACTTGGCAACAAAATCATTAGAAAACCAGGGATGCCCCAGGAGGCACTAAGCAAATTATAGCTCTGAGGTCAAACTCAATTGCTCGTTTTATTCAATGGGAATTTGAAAGCAAAGCAGCAACCATAAAAAAAAAAATCCTCTGTGCCTAGCCAATTTACAAAAACAATTTCCACTTAATGTCAAGATCGTGTTGGGGGAAACCAGACTTAGGGATATTTTGAACCGACGGTACCTCTTGAAGTGGGATTCCTTACTTTTAAAGTTCAGCAAATATTTCTGAGAGCCAGCTTCAAATTGGATACTTCCATTTGGGTCTGCTAGGTAAAGGTTCTCCAGGTCATCTGAAGTTAGACTGGCAGGCTGGAATTGCTTGTCCTATAGAAATGAAATGTATAATACTGTAAAATGTACTATAAAAATGTATACATAATTATGTGTAATTTATTGTTAGAGGATAAGGACCACTGCTCTCCTCTGCACGCACCTTCTTGAATGAAATTCTTATACAAGAATATGTTCTGGATTCGCAACGTAAGTAGTCCTGAACTTATGATTTGTTCATTTAATAATGGTTTGACGTTACAGCCTTGGAAAAAGTGATGGATAATCTGTCTGCGAACTTATGACCATTGTACCACCCCCGCAATCATGTGATTGCAATTCCAGTGCATGTCAACCAGCTCACATTAAAGAAGGTCACAGCATCTTGTAAGATATGTGATCGCAATTTGTGATCTTCCCAACTGTGGAAACTGTATTTATGTCATGACCAGATGATTCGCTTAATGAGCACAGTAAGAATGGCCGTAAAATCAGGTCCAGTCACATGAAGACTTACTTATCAACCGCAATTCTGGTTGCAATCATGGTCATAAATCAAGGACTACCTGTATTTAGAACAGGTATTCTTTAACACTGAAGAAATCCACTGACATGGTAATAAGGCCTAATCAAAATTCTGTTCTACCATCAGTTTCATTTTTTTCTGTTATGTTTATGCTCGTCCTCTCTTCAAGGAATTTTAGCCCCACAGCTAGCATCTAGTTTTAGCTAGATGCTAGTAAAACTCTCCATCAGCGTTTTTCAAACTTGGCAAGATGGGTGAACTTCAACTGCCAGAATTCCCCAGCCAGCATGGGTGGGCGTGGCCAACTCCGTATCACTCACTCCCATCCAGTCACATGACCCCCCCTGGCCACACCTACCCAGCCGGTCATTTGGGCAGAGAACCGATGGTTAAAAAACACCGGAAACCACAAAAACCTTTTCTCTCTTTCTTTCTCCCCTGCTCTCTCTACCCCTCTATCAACCCCGCCCCCCTCTCTGTCTCTCTCTCCTCCTCTCCCTCTTGGATTTCCAAGGCTAGGCGAGGAGTGACTGGGAGGGGAGGGTGAGGGGTGGGGCCAGACAGTCATGGGACAGGGAGCCGCAGCAGAGGGCCCAAAGAGCCGCACGCGGCTCCAGAGCCACGGGTTGCTGACACCCACTCTAACCTTCACCCTAAATCATTGCTTCTCCTTTCCTAATATTGTGTCCAATCCAACAACTAAGGAGGCAAGACTGACACAGAATCACCATAAATAATACTAACGTTAGGAAAAAAAAAAAAGATTACTTATGGAATCTTAAAAACTAGACAGGGACACTCATGTCTTGGTGAGTACCTTAAGCCAAGGTGTTTATGAATTGTCTGGGCTTCTTCCTCATAGAATCCCTTGTGGACCAATGCCATACTTAGGAGCCAACGTTGAAATGTCTGTCTGCTCTTAGTCTGATAATAATTTGAAAGCTTCCCTTTTTCCTCCCCAGATGCTGAGAATGGATAACATCATCATCATCATGGTGCTGATTGCTTTAATGCAGATGTTTCATTACCCAAACTAGGTAACCGTATCCTAGTTTGGCTAATGAAACATCTGCATAGGAACAACCGGTGGACTTCCGGGTGCGCTTCAAGGTGTTGGTGATCACCTTCAAAGCGCTCCATGGCTTAGGGCCAGGGTACTTACGGGACCGCCTTCTGCCACCAATAGCCTCCCACCGGCCAGTTCGCTCCCACAGAGAGGGCCTCCTCAGGGTGCCGTCGGCCAGACAATGCCGGCTGGCGACCCCCAGGAGGAGAGCCTTCTCTGTGGTGGCACCTACCCTATGGAACAATCTACCCCCAGAGATACGAGTGATCTCCGACCTTCGGATCTTTCGTCGGGCCCTAAAAACTTATTTTTTTCAGTTAGCCGGTCTGTCTTGATTTTAGGGTTAGTTTTAAAATTTTAATATTGATTTTAATTGACAAGTTTTAAATTATGGGCCAAATTTATAAATTATTTTAACTTTATTTTTAACTGTGATGTTTGTATAGATGTTTTTATCTTGGCTGTTCACCGCCCTGAGTCCAAAAGGAGAAGGGCGGTATAGAAATTTGAATAATAAATAAATAAATAAATAAACCAAGCTCAGAGAGCGCGCTCTGATTGCTAACAAATATTCTCCTTTATCGGCTGAGAATTCTCCCAGGACTGGAGAACCAAGCTAACAGAGCATTTCCATGGAGTAGAAGTGCCCCAGTCCTCTACTGACCTGTTTCCCATATTCGATCCATTGGCCCTGGTCATTCCTCCAGTACCACAGCCACTTGGTTGTCATGACAAACTTCGGCTCTTTGGTGACGGACGACACAGTGGACAGGCGCCGAATTGGAGGAGAGACAGAAGTCATGGTCGTGAAATCTAGATCTAGATCTGGAAACCTGTGGAGGAGAAAGAGTTCGGCTGGGTTTATCCACTCCACTGAATCAGTTTAGTTTTCTCTCCCCTCCCCTGAACAAGCCATAGTTTTACCCAGGAGGCTAAATCGTGATCCATATCTAACAAACTTGACTATTGGGTTTGCACAGAATAGGCAAGTCCACTTTTCTTGGTCTGCTGCTTCTCCATGGATTCTTTTGCTTGATTTTAGTGAATTCCAAACTGTAAGGAAAAACTTTAATCTTCCATTTGTATATCCTTTCCACGCAGTGTTTTGGGTTCAGACCTGGGGCCCTTTTTCAACTCCAGATCTAAATCCTGGAAATCTCTGTGGAGATTTCCCCCAGTTCTAACCTACCGTATTTTTTGGACTATAAGACGCACTTTTTTGTCTCCCAAAAGGGGGTGAAAATATCCGTGCGTCTTATAGACTGAATATTGCCGAAGCCCTCCCCACTTGCCAGCCATTTTTTTTGGCCTCCACACGCCCTGTTTTCGGGCCTTTTCCAGGCCTTTTTTTTGGCCCATTTTGGAGGCTTTTTTGGCCCGTTTTCTGGGCTTTTTTTGGCCTGTTTTTGAGGATTTTTGGGTCCATTTTTGAGGCTTTTTTGGCCCGTTTTTTTTGGGAAAAACAGGTTGAAAAAATCCACGAAAACAGGCCGAAAAATTCCCGGAAAACGGGTTGGAAAAAGCCTGGCAAACGGGTTGAAAAAAGCCCCAAAAACGGGCCGAAAAAAGCCCTGAAACAGGCCAAAAGCCCCAAAAACGGGCTGAAAAAAAGCCTCGAAAATGGGCCGGAAAAAAAGGTAGCCCAAAACCTTTTTTTGTTGTTTTCCTCTTCTAAATTTAGGTGTGTCTTATAGTCCGAAAAATACGGTAGTTCCTCTCTGAAAAAGGAGCCACCTTTAGATGCTCAAAGGGCTTGCTGTTATCAGTCACTAAAAGAGTTTTTGCTACCAGTCAAAAGAAAATAGTATGGAACTAAAAAAAAAAAAAAAGTAATTGGTGCATTTGAAAATTGAGATTTGGGCAGGTTGGAGCATTAAAAAGCTTTTTTGGAGGGGCGTGTAAAAGAATCCCTTAATTCAGGGCTCTCCAACCTTGGCAACTTTACGAACTTGTGGACTTCAACTCCCAGAATTCCTCAGCCAGCTTTGCCCTCGCCCTCCCCTCCCAGCAAAGCTGGCTGAGGAATTCTGGGAGTTGAAGTCCACAAGTTCGTAAAGTTGCCAAGGTTGGAGAGCCCCGCCTTAATTCAATAATGAGCCATTCAGAAAAAAAAAATGTGATGTTGGGGGAGGGAAGCAAGTTCTGGCTGCCAGGTGAGAGACTTATATAGATCTATTTCTGGCTCGTTAGCCATCATCAGTAAGCCACACCCGCATCTCATGTATCCTCCCTGTAAAGGTACAATATCTATTTTCAATTTTTCTTTCTTGCTGGCTGCCAGAAAGAAAAAAGCCTAGAATCAAGTGGATGTGATTCCACTGAGCTAGGGCTGCAGAAAAACCTTGGTTACATAGGAAAAACCTGGCTAGAGGAAAAACACACATAAATCCTACGAAGAAGTAAGAAAATAGATACTGTACCTTTACAGGGAGGATACATGAGATGTGGGTGTGGCTTACTGATGATGGCTAACGAGCCAGAAATAGATCTATATAAGTCTCTCACCTGGCAGCAAGAACTTGCTGGCTGCCAGAAAGAAAAAAGCCCAGAATCGAATGGATGTGATTCCACTGAGCTAGGGCTGCAGATTTCTCCCGCGTAAAATTGGAGGTGTCTTGGCAACATTTCGACGAAGTCTCATTCGTCATCTTTAGGCTGGTGTTCTCGGCTTCGTGCTTCTAGGAGCAATCACATTCTGCGATCACACACATTGCTCCTAGAAGCACGAAGCCCGAGAACACCAGCCTGAAGATGATGAATGAGACTTCGTCGAAACGTTGCCAAGACACCTCCAATTTTACGCGGGAGAAAACCCGAATAACCAAAGACCTACATATACATATACATATACATATACATATACATATACATTTACAAAGATCGTAATTTCATTTTCTACCTGGTAATATTTGGGTCACAGTAAGCCTTTTCAATTTCCTCTCTTCTGGGAAGATCCTTCCAGCCATTGTTGGTGAAGATTTGCCACCGATAAGGAAGATCATAATGGAGCATGCTGCAATTATCTACAAAGCGAATGAGTAAAAGTAAATCATCTAAGCTTCTTTATACATTTTATAAAAGCAAGCTTCCAGGCATGCTTACTACAAAAAGTACAGTGATTAGCTGTTCCTCTTTGGGAAATAAAAGTTTGGGTCAAATTTCCATGCTGATGGATAAAAGCAAAAATCTAAATTCATCATTTTCTGCCTGATAAGGAAGTCTTGACTGCTCTGCAGGATGTAAATCCAAAAGCAACAGTAAGGCTGAACTTCGTATCCTGTTTTGTTATGTCCTATTTTCAGGTTCCTATAATAAAGCAGCGAGTTTTTGGTTTATCAATGGTGTTTGTTACATAAACTGGATTAGATCCCCAGGAGAAAGCCATGAAAATCTGGATCTACATGATTGCCAAGGAAACTACCACGAGGCATCTTGGTTACTCTGGATCCAAGAAATTCAAAGGAAGTTAAACCTAATACAAAAATAGAGGAAAATAAAATAAAAGTGAAAGCTAAAAGGGCAAAAAAGAAAAATAGAAGAGAAAAAGAAAGGGCGGGGGGAAACTTGCCTCCAGAAGTTGTGAATGCTCCAACACTGGACGTTTTTAGGAAGATGTTGGATAACCATTTGTCTGAAGTGGTGTAAGGTTTCCTGCCTAGGCAGGGGATTGGACTAGAAGACCTCCAATGTTCCTTCCAACTCTTGTTATTCTATTTCTATTGTGACTTCCAATCTTCATAGCAGTTCTACAAACAATTATAAATTTATAATTTTTTTACGATGTAAAAAGATGTTGAGACTCTAGAGTGCAGAGAAGAGCAACAAAGATGATTAGGGAAGGATTGGAGGCTAAAACATGAAGAACGGTTGCAGGAACTGGGTATATCTAGTTTAATGAAGAGAAGGACTAGGGGAGACGTGATAGCTGTGTACCAATATCTCAGGGGCTGCCACAAAGAAGAGGGAGTCGAGCTGTTCTCCAAAGCCCCTGAGGGCAGGACAAGAAGCAATGGGTGGAAACTAATCATGGGGAGAAGCAACTTAGAACTAAGAAGAAATTTCCTGACAGTGAGAACAATTAATCAGTGGAACAACTTGCCTCCAGAAGTTGTGAATGCTCCAACACTGGAAGTTTTTAAGATGTTGGATAACCATTTGTCTGAGGTGTTGTAGGGTTTCTTGGCTAGGTAGTGGGTTGGACTAGAAGACCTCCAAGGTCCCTTCCAACTCTGTCTATTCTATTCTATTCTATTCTATTCTATTCTATTCTATTCTATTCTATTCTACTCTACTCTGCTCTGCTCTACTCTACACACTATATATGTCTTGGGGATAGAGCCGATCTCTACACTGACCATTACACTATCCTCACTTTACAATAGGTCAGTCAGTACTCCCTAATGTAAATGGCAGTTGTTACTGGATTCAGGAACCCATTGGTGGTGTGTAAGTGTATGCCTGTGTGCATATCTAAATGTGATGCCAGGCCTTCACAATGCAAATCAACTCGCATCGGTTGCAACCATGACATGATGAATGTTTGCCATCTGTGCCATGACATCATAACACAGGTCCTGTCTTGCCCCTCCCAGGAGACGTGTTTCTGACCCATGTGGAGTAAAACATGACTTCACCAAGAGCTGAATGCCACCATAGATTCCTAAAGTTGGGGGGAACCTTTGAGGTCTTCTAGCACAACCCTTTGCCAGGGCAAGAATCCTCAAACCATTCCAGATGAAATTGCTCTCTCTCCTTTGCTTGATGATCGTGTTTGAAGAGGACCTTGATATCTAACCAGTTGTGGGCAATCCACGGTGTGTCCGCAGGTGGCTGGTAAGGTCTATAAGGGCACGAAATGTTCTGCAGCATGTCGGGTAGACATGCGTGGCCACCATTGTTGCAGCATTTGCAGCTCTGACTTTGCGGAGTGCTCGCTTCTCTTGTGCTTGTTCTTCTGTCTTCAAAGGTCTGGTAGCCTTGGTGGATCAATGTGCGCCATTTTTTGCTTGGAAACCTCCGCGATGGAGCTTCACAACTCCAGGAGGAAGCATCTTCTGCTCTTCCAGAGCTCCCAGGAAATTCCTCCTTGCTTTGAATGTCGTTGGATTAAAGCTTTTATTTCTGGTTGTTGTTGTCAGTTGTGAAGTTGTGTCCGACCCATCGTGACCCCATGGACAACTTTCCTCCAGGCCTTCCTGTCCTCTACCATCCCCCAGAGACCATTTAAGCTCATGCCTACTGCTTTAGTGACTCCATCCAGCCACCTCGTTCTCTGCCGTCCCCTTCTTCTTTTGCCCTCAATCTTTCCCAGCATTAGGCTCTTCTCCAGTGAGTCTTTCCTTCTCATGAGGTGGCCAAAGTATTTGAGTTTTATCTTCAGGATCTGGCCTTCTAAAGAGCAGTCAGGGTTGATCTCCTCTAGGACTGACCGGTTTGATCGTCTTGCAGTCCAAGGGATTCGCAGGAGTCTTCTCCAGCACCAGAGTTCAAAGGCCTCAATTCTTTAGCGCTCAGCCTTCCTTATGGTCCAACTTTCACAGCCATACATTGCAAATGGGAAAACCATAGCCTTGACTATACGCACTTTCGTTGGCAGGGTAATGTCTCTGCTTTTTAGTATGCTGTCTAGATTTGCCATAGCTTTCCTCCCCAGGAGTAAGTGTCTTTTAATTTCTTGGCTGCAGTCCCCATCTGTGGTGATCTTGGAGCCCAGGAAAATTTTTATTTATTAGCTCTCATACAACTCAACCCAACCCTTCCAAGCTTCTTCTGTGAGACTAGGGCAAAGCCACCATATCTAAAAGTGATGAAGGCCTGTAAGCCAGGTGGACAAAAGCCAGGAAAAGTTCCCTCAGGACAAGGACAAAAGTTGGGCCTGAGCACATAGGAAGCCCCTACCCAAGCCACACCAATAAAGCCTGCATGGGAAACTCCTCCCCACCAACTCTGGGGGATAAAAAGAGGTCCTACAGTCTGCCCAGGCTTTTGAGTTGTTTTTGGATCCCAGACTTGGTGACTTCCTTCCCTCTGGCCTGGCAGCCTAGTAGTAGATGCTGGGTAAGTGTGGATGAGAGAGAGAGAGTGTGTGTTTAAGAGCAAAAAAATATATCAGTAAAAGTTTGCTGTTATTCTAAATTCACTGGGTCTCTCTGTATTTTAAAGAACCGTTCGTGCCTCAGTGTTCAGTTGATTTGGGATTGAGTGTGGCAATTTTCCAGGCCTGTGAGTGTGTGAGTGAGTGACCATAAGCTGAATCTGTGTAACACTTCGTGGATTGCATCACCGCTAAGGAAAAATGAGTGACATTAATTGAACACAATCGTGATTTACTTCTCGAAAAGGCTGAATCAGACACGATTGACTGATTGATGAATGAATCAATAGCTGCTCTCTGGAAACAGTCCAGCCCTTTATTCTAAGCCTTGGATTTGCATGTCCATCTTAACCATTGGCTTCTTTACGGATTAAAGACCGTTTATATTTCTTTCCTGAAAAGTAAATCATGCCACCGATGATCTCAATGTATCCCTCGCTTCCCCTGAACATCAAGTGGATCCACATCCACTTGATGCTTCTAAAGCAAGCAAGAGCGTTAAGAAAAAAAAGAGAGAGAGGCAGAAACACTATGGCTAACATGGATGGAACCTGCAAAGATATTACAACTTGCCAAGGACAAATTAACCGTCACCTTCTTCGCTGTGACTTACTTTTATTTTTACAGAACTGCCAGACATAGTGCAGACAGATTTCGTCGCTTTTTTCCTTCTCTGCATTTGGAGATTTAGGAGCAGGAGCTCTTTTTAGACCTATAAAAAAAAGAGAAATGGAGGGACACGACATCCTTGCTCCAGTAAAAACCACAGAACGGTGTTCTTTCCCAAGTGGAAACGGGCCTCCCGGTTCTCTGCTCAGGAATAGCAGCTCCTGAATGATGGAGGCTGCCAGAGGAGGTTGGTTCCCAAGTTATATGACCCAAGACCCATCGACTGGAATCCCTTGCTTCTCCCTTCAGCAGGTGCTACTTCAAAGATCCAGCTTGACAGGTGAAAATATGGGAGAACACCTTTAGCATGTGGTGCTCTACGCTCCATTTGATTGGGGGCGGGGGTGAAGGTAAGCCATCCTGGAAGATCACCTAATCCAGGGTGTGTCAAACTCGCGGCCTGCGGGCCCGGATGCGTCACATGCTGGCCACGCTCACCCCTGGTTTAGCGAAGGAAAAAAACATTGCAATACATCATGTGCAGTAGTGAGATTCAGCCGGTTCGGGTGAATCTGTTGTTAAATTGCTGGCTGGCCCTGCCCCTCCCCTCCCCTTCCAGGAATCCCCACGTGCCCCATTTTTGCTCCCAGGAGGCTGCAAAGAGGCCTATTAGGCCCAAAACAGGGCGCGTGGAGGTGGTCTGTTCCCCACCCCACCCCACCCCCGCAGCCTGTTTTGGCTCCCGGGGGTGGTGGTGCAGGAGGCCGAGTGCTCCCTGTCACACACCCTGGCCACGCCCACCCAGCCAATCGTTAGGGCAGAGAACTGGTTGTTAAATTATTTGAATCCCACCACTGGTCACATGACGCCACGAGTTTGACACCCCTGATCTAATCCAACGCAATACCCACTTCAGGAATTCACTCTATTTAAGCAACTTCAGGAGAACCAATCACTTCATGAGCAGACCCGTTGTTGTTGCATTTACTGTCAGGAACTTTTAGAGAAAAACTCCTTCTCCATCCTAGGTCTTGAGGATATGTTAGTTCTCAGTGCCAGTCTTCTATACAAATATAGGGGGAGAGCCTTCTCTGTGGTGGCACCCACCCTCTGGAACAATCTACCCCCAGAGATACGAGTGATCCCAGACCTCCGGACTTTTCGTCGGGCCCTTAAAACCTACTTTTTTCAGTTAGCCGGGCTGCCCTGATTTTACGGTTGGTTTTAAAATTTGATATTGATTTTAATTGAAACGTTTTAAATTATGGGCCAAACTTTATTTAATTATTTTAAATCTATTTTAACTTTTGTGTACGAATGTTTTATATTTGGCTGTTCACCGCCCTGAGTCCGGAAGGAGAAGGGCGGTATAGAAATCCGAAAAATAAATAAATAAATAAATAAATAAATAAATAAATAAATAAATAAATAAGGTATTTATTAACCTACCCATCTTTCTTAACCTCCTCACATTCAACTTCCTGTCCTAGGATCCTTTTTGCTTATTATTATTTTTTTTACAGAGTCCTTGAGTTATGACCATAATAGAGGCTGCCCATTACAGTCATAAGTCATGACAGAAGTAAAATGGGTCAGTTACTACTGTTTTGTGGCGGTCATTAAACAAACACCATGTTGATTAAGCAAACCCATTGTTACAGGTGCGGTTTTGCTGAAAACAGTAAATTTTCCAGCCAAGCTGTTGTAAAATGTTGTCACAGAAATGCGGCCAAGTTGCTAAGTGTCCAAAATTCAGTCACATGACTGCAGAATGCACATGGCAACCATCAGAACTCTGGAACCGGATCGTAAATCCTCTTCTTTGGGTCCATTGTAATTTCCAACAGTCACTAAACAACTGGTGGTTAAGTCAGTTGTTCCTCTTACAAGGATTATCAGTATACATCTAATGAAGCAAAAGTAATGTGGTATAGGATCAGGGGTGAAATGTAAAATTTGTTACTACCGGTTCTGTGGGGGTGGGTGGGGGGGGGGGGGGGGGGGAGTGTAATGTGACTGGGTGGGCGTGGCCAACTTTTTTTTTTATTTTAACTTTTCAAAGCATTTTTTCTGCAAATCCAAAAAAATGCTTTGAAAAGCCTCTGCTGATCAGGAACACAGCTGGGATCATCAGAGGCTTTTCAAAGCATTTTTTAAACCACCTCTTCCGTTGAAGAGGTTGCAGGAAAAAAATGCTTTAAAAGTCTCTCTGATGATCCCAGCTGAGTTGCCTGATAGTTTTAAAAAATGCTTTGAAAAGTCTGACGATCAGGCAACTCAGCTGGAATCATCAGAGAGACTTTTAAAGCACTTTTTTCTGCAACCTCTTCAGCGGAAGAGGTGGTTAAAAAAATGCTTTGAAAAGGCTCTGACGATCCCAGCTGAGCCGCACGATCATCAGAGGTTTTTTTACATTTAAAAGTATTTTTTTCGGCAGAAGAGGTGGTAGAAAAAATGCTTTTAAAAGTAAAAAAAAAAAAAGCCTCTGATGATCGTGCGGCTCAGCTGGGCATGGGGGTGGCCAGGGATTTTTGCTACCGGTTCTCCGAACCACCCACCGCCATCACTACCGGATCAGGAGATCCGGTCCGAACTGGGAGCATTTCACCCCTGTGTAGGATGCCTTAACCCGCTGTCTCATAAAATTTCTCAACCTATCAAATCAGAGAAGTATTTCTCAATGTGGGCAACTTGAAGATGTGTGGAGTTCAACTTCCAGCCAGCATATCTTCCAAGTTGCCAACATTGAGAAACACTGATCTATATAGATGGCTAATCTTTTCAGCACCGAGTGCCGAAATTGGAGCATGCACACGTGCCGGAACAGAGCAGCTGGCCGGCACGCATGGCGCATGACGGAACCTGGAAGAGCAGCTGGCAATGGTGCGCAGGGCCCACTGAGTGCCACCTCTGGCACATGTGCCATAGGTTCACCATCACGGATATAGATGAATACAAAATACAGAAGTGTGCACCTTGTTGTAAACTGGCCCTACTGATATCCAGGCCCGGTCCCCAACAGCCAAAGGAGCTAAAAAAAAAAAAATTGGCTTACCTTGGTCAGGCTGATCTATTTTCACAAAATTATTTGCGTTAAAAGGTACCGGATATCTCTCAGTTTTTGGACGCATGTTTAAGTATTCTTTCTCTGCTGCAGCCGCACAATTTGGGGTTCCTACAAGAGTGGAGAGGAGATGGTTTTGTTGATTAAACAGATTATAGAAATAAATATGCTGTACTCAAACATAGGGAATAAATAGAATAGAATAGAATAGAATAGAATAGAATAGAATAGAATAGAATAGAATAGAATAGAATAGAATAGAATAGGAGTAACAGAGTTGGAAGGGACCTTGGAGGTCTTCTAGTCCAACCCCCTGCTTAGGCAGGAAACCCTACACTGCTCCAGACAAATGGTTATCCAACATCTTCTTAAAAACTTCCAGTGTTGGAGCATTCACAACTTCTAGAGGCAAGTTGTTCCACTGATTAATTGTTCTCACTGTCAGGAAATTTCTTCTTAGTTCTAAGTTGCTTCTCCCCTTGATTAGTTTCCACCCATTGCTTCTTGTCCTGCCCTCAGGGGCTTTGGAGAATAGTTTGACTCCCTCTTCTTTGTGGCAGCCCCTGAGATATTGGAACACAGCTATCACGTCTCCCCTAGTCCTTCTCTTCATTAAACTAGATATACCCAGTTCCTGCAACCGTTCTTCATATGTTTTAGCCTCCAGTCCTCCCCTAATCATCTTTGTTGCTCTTCTCTGCACTCTTTCTAGAGTCTCAACATCTTTTTACATCGTAAAAAAATTATAAATTTATAATTGTTTGCGGAACTGCTATGAAGATTGGAAGTCACAATAGAAATAGAATAACAAGAGTTGGAAGGAACATTGGAGGTCTTCTAGTCCAACCCCCTGCCTAGGCAGGAAACCCTACACCACTTCAGACAAATGGTTATCCAACATCTTCCTAAAAATGTCCAGTGTTGGAGCATTCACAACTTCTGGAGGCAAGTTTCCCCCCACCCCCTTTCTTTTTCTCTTCTATTTTCCTTTTTTGCCCTTTTAGCTTTCTCTTTTATTTTATTTTCCTCTATTTTTGTATTAGGTTTAACTTCCTTTAAAAGCCTTTCAGAAAAATTATCAAGGGAGGGAGGGAGTTTCAACAAGGGAATGAGAAAAGAGGAGTTCTGAAATAGGAAGCAGCCTATGAGAAGCTTGCAAGTGTGTGTAAAATGCTCACTAAGGTCATTCATGAAGGCAGCAATCCTGGCATCACAAATGGCTTGAATGTTCCAAATTGTATCTTGATCCAGGCCTTCGGAGATCAGCAGACTCGTAGGATGGGAGTCCAGAAGATTATGAGACCTCTTGCAATGGGGGAATCGGCATTCTCCTTTGAGAAAGTAGCGGCAAATGTGAAGCCGGGAGCAATTCTCTTTCAGAGTGCAGCTCCCTCCCCCTTTGTTATAGGCACCGCACACCTAAAAAGAGAAAAACAGGTAGACACCAATATTCCTCCATTTGGGATTGCACAGAAAGCAGGAAAACATTCTGGGCATTAACATTGTGGACACCTGTTTTGAGATGCTAACTTAGCCTTACCTAATTAATAGCACTTAGCAATAGCACTTAAGACTTATATACCGCTTCATAGTGCTTTTACAGCCCTCTCTAAGCGGTGTACAGAGTCAGCATATTACCCCAAACAATCTGGGTCCTCATTTTACCCACCTCGGAAGGATGGAAGGCTGAGTCAACCTTGAGCCTGGTGAGATTTGAACTGCCAAATTGCAGGCAGCCGGCAGTCAGCAGAAGTAGCCTGCAGTACTGCACTCTAACCACTGCGCCACCTCGGCTCAAATTCCCAGAAATGTTGGCCTAGGTTTAAATAATACAATTTGTTTATTTTGACCTGTTTAGGAACTAAGGGCTCTGCATTTCACTTATTCATATATAGAAAAGTATGCTTCCTTATTTTAAAAAAACAAGCAAACTACGGCAAAAGTCCACCCATATTCCAGAATTAGAACAGAATAATTCCCATATTCTGTTCAGATCTGTCCAGATGTCAAGGTTGTGGAGGTTTGATGCCTTTTAAAAGGGTTTTATCATTCTTTCATAGAATCTGAGAATGGATGTCAGTTCCAGTTTATTTATTATTTATTTATTACATGTATTTATATGCCGCCATTCTCCCAAAGGACTCAGGGCGGCGAACACAGTTAAGAAACAAGTACAATAAAATCCCATTTTAAACCAAATAACTAATTAATAGTAAATAATAAAACCCGGAATCAGAGTCAGCCTATTTGTTTGAACAGCCAAGTCTTCAGGTTCCAACGGAAGGAGCGGAGATCAGGAGCCGTCCGGAGCTCGGTAGGTAATTCATTCCAGAGGGTGGGAGCACCCACAGAGAACGCCCTACCCCTGGGCGCAGCAAGGTGACATTGGCTCGCCGTCGGAACCCTGAGGAGAGCGGCCCTATGTGAGCGAACAGGACGGTGAGAGGCAGGCAGGAGAAGGTCCTGCAAATATCCCGGACCTAAGTCATGTAGGGCCTTATAGGTGAGGACTAGCACCTTGAAGCTGACCTGGAGAACCACTGGCCCGGAGAACCATGCAGCTCACGCAGGAGGGGTGTTATATGGGAGTAACGAGGGGCTCCCATAACAACCTGTGCGGCTGCATTCTGGATCAGCTGGAGTCTCCGGGTGCATCTCAGGGGCAGGCCCATGTAGAGGGAATTGCAGTAATCCAAGCGGGAAGTAACCAGGGCATGAGTGACTGTGCGAAGGTCATCTCGGTCCAGGAAAGGGCGCAACTGGCGCACCAGGCAAACCTGTGTGAAGGCCCCCCTGGTCACGGCCGTTAGATGGTCTTCTAGGGACAGCCGAGCATCCAGGAGGACACCCAAGTTGCGAGCCCTATCAACGGGTGCAAGTTTTTCCCCATCTATCAAAAGTGATGGGGCCTCTGAAACCCGAGATGCCGGCATCCACAGCCACTCAGTTTTGGAGGGATTGAGTTTGAGTCTGTTTCTGCCCATCCAGGCCCGTATCGCCTCCAGGCAACGGGACATCACGGAAAGGGTTAACCAGTTGGTAAACCAGACTACGAAATCAACTTCGCAAGAAACCTGAAACTACTTACAGGTAGTCCTTAAAGTAAATGCTGGTTTTTGATAAAACCCATCGTAAAATGCAGGCAAGTGACCTTCGGCATGTTGGCTGCCAAGCATAGGACATGCGGTCACATCACTGCACCGAAATGCATGGCTCCCAGAATTTCAAATCCCGATTGTAAGTACCACCCAGGTAGGCCAGTCGTAACTTCAATTGGTCCCTAAACGACTGGTTGTATGTTGAGGATAACCTGTATTGAGATTGGGTACAAACAGCAGAATCTTGCAAGAATGATTGTGCAGGGCTTCCTCCCTTCCTTATACTTCACTGAATTAGGGAGGTGTCTGTCGGAGCTCCTTCCATGGATATTCTGAATTTTAAAAATATTTTAGACCCCTTTTGCCTAGGTATTACAGATTAACAGAGTTGGGAGGGACCTTGTAGGTCATCTAGTCCAACCCCCTGCCCAAGCAGGAGACCCTACACCATTTCTGACAGATGGCAGTCCAATCTCTTCTTGAAAGCCTCCAGTGATGAAACTCCCACAACTTTTGAAGGCAACTTCTGTTCCACTGGTTGATTGCTCTGTCAGAAAATTTCTCCTTATTTCCAGGTTGAATCTCTCCTTGTTCAGTTTCCATCCATTATTCCTTATCTGGCCTTCAGGTGCCTTGGAAAATAGCTTGACCCCCCTCCTCTCTGTGGCAGCCCCTCAAATATAGGAAGACTGCTATCATGTCTCCCCTGGTCCTTCTCTTCACTAGACTAGCCATGCCTGGTTCCTGCAACCGTCCATCATATGTTTTAGCTTCCAGTCCCCTAATCATCTTGGTTGCTCTTCTCTGCACTTTTTCTAGAGTCTCCACATATTTTTTTATAGTGTGGTGACCAAAACTGGATGCAGGATTCTAGGTGTGGTCTTACTAAGGCTTTATAGAGTGGTATTAATACCTGTGAGTTTCTGCTCCAGGAAATCAGCCAGCCTTTATCAATGTCGTCTTTCTTACTACAATCTACTCCCTACAATTAGAGACCTGGTCAAGTCAACTGGTCCAACCCTCTGCAATGTGTAAGAAAACCAATTCTTAGAGGAGACTGTCCAGCCTCTTGTTAAAAGCCCCAGAAATGGAGAAGCCACAACTGCTATAGGTAGAGTTTTCCAATGAACTCTTTTTAAATTATCAGGCTAGGCTCAGAACATAGAACACAGCACATGAATAAAAAATCCAAAATCACCCACCCAACTTCAATGATGATACAAGACCATGTGCACATATTCAATATATGTATTAACTTAGATCTGTCAGTGAAATAAAAGTAGGGTGGAATAGCTTAAATGATACAATGATAAATGGTACAAATGATACCCAAAAAAATCTGAAGCAGAAAAATCAGGATACAGAACACTGATCCAACTGATGAGAGATGATACTAAATCATGATTTAGTATGACATGCAAAGCTGGTCTTCGAATGAGAAAGTAAACCTGAACAAACAAACTGTAGGATTTGATTCTCTTAAACTTCTTTTTTTTAATTTCTTGTTCAATTTCCTACAATTTCTCTTTCTTCATTTGCCTACATTAGTAGACTACAGACTGCCGTATTTTTCGGACTACTGGACTATAATTTAGGAGAGGAAAACAACAACAAAAAAAGTTTTTGGCCTTCACACGCCCCGTTTATGGGACTTTTTTCGGCCTTTTTCAGGCCATTTTTCTGCCCTTTTCCAGCCTGTTTACAGGCCTTTTTTCTGCCTGTTTTTGAGGGTTTTTTGGCCCATTTTGGAAGCTTTTTTGGCCCTTTTTTCCAAAAAAAGCAGGCCAAAAAAAAAAAAGCCTCAAAAAAAAAGCCTCAAAACGGGCCAAGAAAAGCCTCAATAATGAGCCAAAAAAAGCCTCAAAAATGGGCCACAAAACCCTTGAAAATGGGCCGGAAAAAAGCCTGAAAATAGGCCAAAAAAAGAGCTGGTGGGTGGATGGGGTTTCAGCAATATTCAGTCTATAAGACGCATGGATATTTTCACCCCCTTTTGGGAAACAAAAAAGTGTGTCTTATAGTCTGAAAAATATGGTACTTATATAGTTCCCAAATGTGTGGGACCAAGCTTTGGAACCTTCATGGAATCTTTGAGAGTTTGGGGAAATGTTAAGGGGTAACATGGAATCCACTGCATTTATAGATGTATCTCCAAATGTGTTCGAAGCAGAAGCCTTAATACTCAACCCTAAATCTGTTTGTGAGAAAATTGCAGAGTCATGCTTTTTATCAGTATTATTCCAGGGCAGGAATAATACCATGAAAAATTCATGAGAATTTTTTAAACTGCTTTTTTATTATCTTTTACAGGATGTGAACTTTTTTGAACTCAAAAAGACTTGCCTCTTAGTAAACACCAATTGTAGTGTGTGCTTAGGAGCCATCAGTTTGACGTACACTTTGACACTGTATATTCATTGACCATGCAAACATGTTTGTGTATTAACACTTATTAGCCATCTCTAAGTGACTCTTGGGATTGGCAGCTATAAAAATTGAAAAAATAGGATCCTACAAATAACGCATAACCTTCAAACATGTTGTGTCTGTATAACATGTTGTGTCTATACAACATCCCTAACTCCTTATCTTGAGCAAGAATTTTGTCTTTCATATCAGAAACCGCAGTCTGGGGAGTGTAGATTATCTGACCTAAATCAACAAGATCTATTCTTGCTAAAGCAATTCTAAAACCAAGGTCTCTCAGATCAGTGGCTCTGTAACAAATAACTGGTCTATACTTTGGCATAACTTACATCAGGTATAAGAAAAGGATCGTTTTGTAAAAGTAAAACACACAATTCCTCTTCATTCAGGCCAGACAGTTCGTGGTTTTTCAAAACTTGCCGGTTAGTTTCTGAGAAAATATCATGCGAATACTTGCAAGCACTAGAAGAGAATAAAAGAAACAGGGGTAAGTAAAGACTCAAAAGTTCTTAAAATTATAGCTGCATTTATTTATTTATTTATTATATTTCTATACCGCCTTTCTCCCGTAGGACTCAAGGCGGTGTATAGTCAAGAAAAATATAGACACACAAACATCATAAAATTGCTAATTAAAATTATTACTTAGTTTGGTCAATTAAATAAAACCCAGAATTAGATAACATTTAAAAAATCATTCACATGTTCGTATGTTTAGCCCCGCCTGTTGGAACATCAGGGTCTTGAGGGCACGGCGGAAAGCACGGAAATCAGGGATATTCCGTATCTCCGGGGGCAGTTCATTCCAAAGGGTTGGAGCCCCCACAGAGAAGGCCCTCCCCCTGGGAGTCGCCAGTCGACATAATTTGACTGACGGTACCCTGAGTAGTCCCTCCCTGTGAGAACGAACTGGTCGGTGGGAGGCTATTGGTGGCAAAAGACGGTCTCGTAGGTACCCAGGTCCTAAGCCATGGAGCGCTTTAAAGGTGATAACTAACACCTTGAATCGCACCCGGAAGACCACCGGGAGCCAGTGCAGCTCGCGTAGGAGAGGTGTTACATGGGCGTAACGAGCTGCGCCCATAATCACCCGCGCGGCTACGTTCTGGACCAGTTGAAGCCTCCGGGTGCTTTTCAAGGGGAGCCCCATGTATGGAAGCTCTTTATATTCCATATCTTTATATTCCATAAGCCTATTTTTCTCTTTCAACTCTGAAGTGTTACTTCACCCTGAAAATAAATATCACGGACTGAGTCTCAGAAAAACTTGGGAAGTATTACTCTAAGGAGCAGTGACAGTCACACCTTTTAAAAAAAAAAATCTACACCACCAAAACTTACTGGGCTTTGAAAAAAACTTTCTGGACTTTAAAACATAGTGATGATTAATCATTTATTTAGGAACAACTCTGCAAGTTAACTGTTAAAGAGAAGCAGATCAATGTGTGAGAAAATTGCCTCAAACCCTTGAGCGTGTAGAGTCATTGCCAGAAAGCAAACATTTTCAGAACTTTATCTTCCCTATATCTTTTTTTTCCCACTTAATTTCTTCATGGAATCACTGGATTCAAATCATCATTACCTTTCGATGCTAAAACTGCATCATTAAACTGTGATTCAAACACAGTTGAGGAGAGAGCTGGGAGTTTTTTCAAAAAATACGTATCATCCTTATTTTTTGCAAGTTCTAGAGAATAAGGTTATGAGTTTAACGTGAATGGATTCCTTAGAGTCTGAGAAAAAGTGCTTAATTTTCATATACATAAAGGTAGTCCTCCACTTACGACCACAATTGAGCACAAAGTTGTTGCTAAGTGAATTTTGCCCCATTTTATGACCTTCATTGTTAAGTGAACCATGCAATTGTTAAGTGAATCTGGCTTCCACACTGACTTTGCTGGTCTGAAGGTCACAAAAGGTAATCACACTGGAACTGTCATAAATATGAGTCAGGTGCCAAGCATTTGAATTTTGATCAAATGACCCCGAGGATGCTGCAACAGTCATAAGCGTGAAAATCGGTCATAACAAGTCACTTTTTTCAGTGCCATTGTAACTCTGAATGCTCACTAAATGAACTGTTGCAAGTCGAGAACTACCTGTACTAGCAGAACACAGTAGTTACATTTTTAGCACTATGGAACATAGATTTGATTTAAATCAAGTCGATTTAAATCATGATTTAAATCACTAGTAAAAAGGCTTATTTTAAATCAACTTGTTAAACACGGTAATTACATTTTTAGCACTATGGAACACAGATTTGATTTAAATCATGATTTAAATCACTAGTAAAAAGGCTTAATTTAAATCAACCCATTAAACACGGTAATTACATTTTTAGCACTATGGAACACAGATTTGATTTAAATCATGATTTAAATCACTAGTAAAAAGGCTTAATTTAAATCAACCCGTTAAACACGGTAATTACATTTTTAGCACTATGGAACACAGATTTGATTTAAATCATGATTTAAATCACTAGTAAAAAGGCTTAATTTAAATCAACTCGTTAAACAGGGTAATTACATTTTTAGCACTATGGAACACAGATTTGATTTAAATCATGATTTAAATCACTAGTAAAAAGCCTTAATTTAAATCAACTCGTTAAACACGGTAATTACATTTTTAGCACTATGGAACACAGATTTGATTTAAATCAAATCCATTTAAATCAAGATTTAAATCATGATTTAAATCACTAGTAAAAAGGCTTAATTTAAATCAACTCGTTAAACACAGTAATTACATTTTTAGCACTATAGAACACAGATTTGATTTAAATCAACTCGATTTAAATCACAATTTAATTCGTGATTTAAATCACTAGTAAAAAGGCTTGATTTAAATCAACTCGATTTAAATCATAATTTATAAAGAGCAACTGTCATCTCTGTCCCACAGCGGCTCCTCCTCTGACCTGCCGTTGACTGACCAACAGTCCCAATATTGCAGAATATACAGCCTCATGCTACATAAGTAAGCTCCATTGCATGCTGAATAAACTAAATTATTAATGCATCTTAGATAGAAAACTAGATAGATTTTTACTCCAAAAGCATTTTATTAAAATAAATTGGATAAAAATTAAAAAAATCCAATTTAAATTTAAAAAATCCAATTTTGATTTTTTTAAGATCGATTTTTATACACCCTGATGGAGCAGACTGAAAAATATGATAAAGGTAAAAGGTAAAGGTTCCCCTCGCACATATGTGATAGTCGTTCCCGACTCTAGGGGGCGGTGCTCATCTCCATTTCAAAGCCAAAGAGCCAGCGCTGTCCAACGACATCTCCGTGGTCATGTGGCTGGCATGACTAAATGCCAAATGCTCATGGAACGCTGTTACCCTCCCACCAAAGGTGGTCCCTATTTTTTTACTTGGATTTTTACGTGCTTTCCAACTGCTAGGTTGGCAGATGCTGGGACAAGTAACGGGAGCTCACTCCGTTACGCGGCACTAGGGATTCGAACCGCTGAGCTGCCAACCTTCTGATCAACGAACTCAGCGTCTTAGCCACTGAGCCACCAGGTCCCTAGACTGAAAAATAACACAAACTTAAACTTCACCTCCTTCCAGTTCTGAATGCCACATCTTTAGGGCTCAGGCTCAACTGAGGTTTGATATGGCCAGTGTTGCCTGCATTCAGACACAACACAGTAAGCCACGATCCATAACACAGAAATCCCAATGAGAAGATTTATTTTCACCCTCTTAAACCAAAAGCTCCGTGAAGCAGTTTATGGCTCAATGTGAAATTTTGCAAATTCTCCACTAACCCACTCATGCTGCTTTTTCTCTCTCCTGGTTAATACTGGTTCCGACCATGGTTAAGCCCCTTGGATGTCTGTTTCAGAGTGATGCTTGTACATGTTCTGTGCTCACACTCTTGCAAGACCCAGGCAGACGAAGCAGAATTTTTTCAGTTTCTGCATCCTGCTTTAACTGGGGGTCTGCCGGCCTCCCAGCGCTTGGAAGTGGGATGCTGTAACCCTCAAAGTCCCTCAAACTATCTCTGGAAGGAGGCTAGCAAAGGGAAGGGCCAGTCACAGTTAGCCGAACCAGCCTGGGTTTATCTGATGTCAGATCAGGTTATGCTCCACCTTTCCTCCTGTAGCTTACAAGGAAATCGAAACCAAAGACCTGTAAACTGGCATGCAAGAGAGATCAGTGACTAATACAGTTTTGTGATGTCAGCAAACAATCAAAGGCAATTTTTTTTTTTTTTTTGGGTGGCTTGGCTCATTGGCGCTCAGCCCTTCGAATCCACTTGCACAGAACATCCTTATCGTTTTGAACTGATTAAAAGGGGCTAGGTAGGGTGATCCTTTAGTCGCAAGGGGAAATTGTGGGAGCCCCAACTGTGGAGCTAAAACAATGACATCAGGCACCATTTAGCTTGAGCAGCAAAGGCTAACCTTTGCAAGCTAAGTGCTTACCCACCCAACTTGCCCCCACAATTATTAGTTTTTCCATTTCTTTTCAGCAATTCCTTTGATCCTGGCCCTTCCAAATTATCCACTGCTTTCTTTTTCTATTCCCTCAATCTCCAAACTGGCCAGTTGGGAGGGACCTTGTAGGTCATCTAGTCCAACCCCCCGCCAAGGGAGGACCCTACACTATTTCTGACAGATGGCAGTCCAGTCTCTTCTTGAAAGCTTCCAGTGATGAAGCTCCCACAACTTCTGAAGGCAACTTCTGTTCCATTGATCGATTGTTCTCACTGTCAGAACATTTCTCCTTATTTCTAGGTTGAATCTCTCCTTGTTCAGTTTCCATCCATTATTCCTTGTCTGGCCTTCAGGTGCTTTGGAAAATAGCTTGACCCCCTCCTCTCTGTGGCAGCCCCTCAAATATTGGAAGACTGCTATCCTGTCTCCCCTGGTCCTTCTCTTCACTAGACTAGCCATGCCCAGTTCCTGCAACCGTTCATCGTATGTTTTAGCCTCCAGTCCCCTAATCATCTTGGTTGCTCTTCTCTGCACTCTTTGTAGAGTCTCCACATCTTTTTTTATAGTGTGGTGACCAAAACTGGATGCAGGATTCTAGGTGCGGTCTTACTAAGGCTTTATAGAGTGGTATTAATACCTGTGAGTTTCTGCTCCAAGAAATCAGCCAGCCTTTATGTCAGGGTTTTTCAAGCTTGGCCGCTTTAAGATGGGTGGACTTCAACTCCCAGAATTCCCCAGTTGGTTGGGGAATTCTGGGAGTTGAAGTCCACCCATCTTAAAGCCGCCAAGCTTGAAAAACTCTTGACCTAAATCAACTACTGTTTATTACCCCCGACTGCATTTGCTTCAATTCTATCTTTAACCCTTTGCAATTACACCCCCCCCTCTGAAGACCCTGTCCTGTACATTCAAGGTTGGGGATCTTCAGAAATCAGCCCAACTTATAGCCCTGCTTTTCAGGGCTTGAAATTATGCAGCAGTGATCTCTGGCTAAAACTGTCTTGCCAGCTCCCTTCTGGCCTCTGTATCTTCTACTTCTAGCTCTGTATTTACAATCTCCAAGGCCAGCAACTTGGCAGTCTGCCTCCCTTCTCCTCTCCCCAAGATCATGCATAGGTTGTGTCATTTTCCTAGGAAAGTAGAAGTTAGCTAGGGTTTTAGAGAGGAGCCTCAAAGGGCTGAAGAGGGAGTTGACTCTAGAAAGAAAAGTGGACTAGATGGTCTCAACGGGACCCCCTCCTAGCCTTTATATCCTATAAGGGTGCTGCAGGAGAAGTTTCCCACACTGCGGTGGAAGACTCCAAAATTCCTCCCAGCCCACAGAATGTGTGAAATTCTCACTCTCCCTTAGAGAAACTCAAAATCTAGAAGTATCTAAAAGCCTGCTGCTGTTTTAGAAACCCTGCCTAGTTTTTCAGGAAAAAATAAACGATATGCTTCTTAGGGCAAGGGACAAACATTGTGTAAAAAATACAAACGGAGCCCTTACCAAGGCAGAAGGAATCCAGGGGTTTACTTTGAGAGTCAGGTAGCATTAAAGTTTAATGAATTATTATAAGGATTCTCCAATTACGGTAAATTCACAATCCAAAACTGGCAGGAGCCTCATAATTCAAGTCCCTAACCAAGGATCTCAGAATTATTAAGGTGACGATTAAGGAGATAGGGCAGATCCTAATAGTGTTTTGTTTTGGGTTGGGGTTTTTTGGGGGGTGAAATTAAGAATGTTCCTGTCCTATAAATTAAAAATTTCCAAATATCGAGGGAATTTTTTAGTTATTTTTCTGAAGTCTCTGATTATTATTCGTATAACAACAGATTTCTTTTTTTCCAGAGGTGTTCAACTTCGATCTTCAAGTCCTGGCATTTTGTTTTTCGAATTTACCTCAATAGCAACATCAATATTCCTCAATAGTAACATCATTAAACCAGACTTCCTCTTTTCAAAGACTATTATTATATTATATTATTTGGGCATGCCTGCCTCTTTTTCTCTGTTGGCTTTTCACCCCGTTTTTTCCTATCTGATACTGCCCAACACCAGCCAAGGTGATTTCCTTCTTTTTGGTTTCCTTTCTCGATTCCTGAGTCAGGAATGTCCTGACTCAGCTTTTCCACAACAATCTTCCTCCCCCTTTGCAGATTGAAATAATGAAAAACTCAAGAGATCAAACAACCTTCAAACCAACCATACACACCTATTGGGAAGCTTCCTTGAATTTGCATTTTATTTTCACTTTCTATTTTGAAACACCCCTAGTAAAAATCAGTAGAATTTGTTCGGTTTTTGACTAGTCCCCGGAGATTACTTCCGTATCTTGATCCTGTACTGTTTGTCCTTTTTTTTTTTTTTTTTTAAATCCCTCTAATAAAAAAATATTGTAATATGCAGAGGGTAACCAAACTGAATTCAGAAAATATATTTTCCACCATTAGTGAAAAATCCCAGAATGCAAATCTATTTGGCAATGAGTTAAAGCCTGTCGTGCATAGCAGGACTGAAAAATTCACACCGGATGTAAGTCAGATTCACACAAACTATGGTCTAAAGAGTAATTTTGGTCTAGTGGTTAAGGCACCAGGATGGAATGCAGGAGGCTCTGAATTCTAATCCGGCTTTAGCCATGAAAATCCAAATGAGTGACTTCGGGCCAGTCATTCTCTCTCAGCCCAACCTACCTCACAGGGTTGTTGTGGGGAAAATAGGAGGATGAAGATGTGTTGGATATGTTCACCATTCTGAATTATTTGTAGAAATAAAGAGAGGGGTGACTGGGATTTGAAGTCCATCCCTCTTAAAGTTGCCAAGACTGAGAAAGACTCTTCTAGAATATAATTCTAAATCTCACAGAAAAAGCTGCATTACTCTTTCCCAGAAAGTAAATATACGCTTGCTATATATGGGTGTATTTAAGAACAATATCTATAGAACTGCGTACATCATTCAAGCCACTAGATCTCCAGAAACCGACTTGGGAGATCTTCAAAATAAATCATAAGCCACTTCCCTGAACTGTTTCACACATTTTGATCGGGTGAATAATCAGACCATCCGATTCTTCCATCCGAAGATTTAAGTCGGCCATTTTTATAAGCGGCATTTGGCTAATTTTTTTTTAACTCTGTTCTGTATTCTAATTGTTAGATGCCCAATCATGCATATGAGATGGGCAGCCACATAAATAAATAAACAAAAAATACATTTAAAATTAAAAAGGAAAAAAAAATACTACATTCACTCTTAGCCCAAATTTTTAGACCCGCTGACAATTTGATTTCCACCCAAATTCTTGTTCCTTTGGAAACAAGGTCAAGCACAGGCTGGGGAAAAATTCTTTTTGTGTATTCAGCACTATTTTAATTCACAACATGTTCTCCAGAAAGTCATTACTGTCCCCCCACCCCAAAATGTTCAGAGCACAGACAAGGACCCGGATGGGATTTGTTTTGGGTTTGGATTTGGAAAATGGGTTTTTAAGGCGATACAGGTGGAAACCAGTTAGGATCAAATGAGGAATGAATGCCCATTTTATGGAGGGGTTTATATGGGAGATTCCTTTCTCAAAAGGAGTTCAGCAGGTCCTGAAAAACAATGGGTCTCTGATGGGGCTCAAGTGGAGATGAAATTAAGCGGAAACTGCGAATTAAATAAAGCCACAACAAGGAAAGGACAGCAAAACTATTTCAGAATTAAGACTTGGCACGTTGGGCCAGCTTTCTGATTACTTTTAAGACAACTTTTTAAAGTTTTTTTTGTTGTTGCTTAGAAAACAGACTTCCAGCTGCGGTTAAAAAAAGACGGACACAAGTTTTCATTTTTTTTTTCTTAAGCGATGTTCACCCTTTTTTGGTTGTTGTTGTTACGCCCTTAGTATTTTTCCTCCCTTCCCATATCTAGTTGATCCAAAACACTTAATCCCACGGCGACCTTCCCCCACTTTGCCTCTCGTCCTCCCCCCCCACCTTTGTATGGCCCAAAACCTCCCCCCCACCCCACCCCGACTTGCCACAAGTTAAGCCAGGCGTCATGAGGACTAGCGCCCCCCCTTTCAAAAGGCGCCCGCTTGCTTTTCCGTCGCCCCGACTCACTGGACTCGGCATCTCCCGCGGAGGTTCAGCTTGCAGAGGTGCAGCCGCTCGCAGCCCACGCAGACCTGGCGGACGCAGAGGCGGGCAGCCGAGACGGCCAGCACGCATTGATCGCCGCCTCTCCGGACCACCAGAAAGCGCGCCTGCCCGGCGTCTTCCAGGACCTGCCGCAGCTGGCTCATAGGCAGCCCCATCTCTTGGGGCAGCTCGGAGAGGCGCACGCAGCCGCCCCGCGAACACAGCACCTTGGACAGGTAGCTGCACACCGCCGGGTCCGCCATCCCTGCCTCGCCTCGCCTGCCCGCCCGGCCGCCGCCGCCGCCGCCACTGAGCCGCTCGCAGGAATCGAAAGCGAAGGGCGGCCGGAGGGGCGGGGCCGGGAGAGGAGAGGCCTCTGCGCCTGCGTGAAACAGGGCCGGAGGATGAGGGGGGAGCGTGCCGGGGTCATAGCCCTCTCGAAGGAGGAGGAGGAGGAGGGGGGAGGAGGAGGGGAAACCGGTGCGCGCGAGAGGCCGCTTTCTGGGTTGCGCGCCCTCCCGCAGCTTCTCCTTCGGAGGGAGGGAGAGAGGGGCAGGCAGCCGTCCACGCGTGACCCGGGGATGATGCCACTGACTGACTGACCTCACCCCTTGCCCTACCCCCTCCCGGAAGGCAGTTTTATTTCCAGTCTCGGGTTAAAAACAAAGTATGTATTAAAAGAAGAAGGGAGGGAGGGAGGGAGGGAAGGAAAGGAAGAAGGAAGGAAAGAAGGGAGGGAGGGAGGAAAGAAAAGAAAAAAGGGAGGGAGAGGAAAGAAAAGAAGGGAGGGAGGAAGGAAAGGAAAGGGAAGGAGGAAAGAAAAGGAAAGAAGGGAGGGAGGGAGGAAAGGAAAGAAAAAAAGGAGGGAGGAAAGGAAAGGAAGAAGGAAGGAAAGAAGGGAGGGAGGAAAGAAAAGGAAAGGAGGGAGGGAGGGAGGAAAGAAAAGAAAAGGGAGGGAGGAAAAAAGAAAGGAGGGAGGAAAGGAAAGGAAGAAGGAAAGAAAGAAGGGAGGGAGGAAAGGAGGAAGGGAGGGAGGGAGGAAAGGAAGGGAGGAAAGGAAAGAGAGGGAGGAAAGAAACGGGAGGAGGAAAGAAAAGAAAAGGAGGAAGGAGGGAAAGAAAAGGGAGGGAGGAAAGAAGGGAGGGAGGGAGGAAAGAAAAGGAAAGAAGGGAGGGAAAAAGGAAGGAGGGAAGGAAAGAAGGGAGGGAGGGAGAAAAGAAAAGGAAAGGGAGGGAGGAAAGAAAAGGAAAGGAGGGAGGGAGGGAAAAAGGGAGGGAGGGAGGAAGGAAAGGCGGGAGGAAGAAATAAGAAAGGGAAGAAGCAAGGAAAGGAGGGAGGGAGGAAAAAAGGAAGGGAGGGAGGGAGGAAAAAAGGAAGGGAGGGAGGGAGAGAGGAAAGAGAAAAGAAGGGAAGGAGGGAAAGAGAACTTAATTTTCTCAAAGTACATGTTGTTACAACAGGTTTGAAAAAAGTGACTGATGGCCCTTTCTCACACTTGTAGCATCCCCACGATCACATGATCAAAAGTCAGATGCTTTGGAACTGATTCGTATTTATGACAGGTTGCAGTGTCCTGGGGGGGGATCACATGATCACCTGTGAGTTTCTGATAAGCAAAGTTGGTCGGGAAGCCAGACCCACTTAACAGTAGAAATGTTGGGCTAACAATTGTGATCCTAAGTCGAGGGCTCATGTAAACTACACCTTATGAATTGCTTGCAAATGCTGTGCCCTGAAGCACATCCAGCCTCCGGGATGTTATTTGGGGACATTTTGGTTGCAATCCAATGACGTCAGAGCCTTTGGCCACCGAAGGAAGCAGTGTAAAAAGAAGTTAAACTAATCTAATAAACAAATATGTACAGCATAGCAATCCGCTGCTGGAATCTTGATGGTATGTAACACGACTTTGGAATGTTGTATATTGTATAAAAACAAGACAGAAGGGATTTTTTTTAATTGGATTTTTTCCTGTACAATAAAAGTATACAAATTTTTTAAAAGATTAAGGGGAAAAAGAGAGAGAAAGAAGAAGGAAGGAAGGAGCAATACATTTCCATTAGGTTGTTTTTAGATTTCCCCTGAAAAAAGAAGAAAAGGAAGGAAGAAAAGACGGAAGGAGCAATATATTTCCATTAGGTTGTTTTTAGATTTCCCCTGAAAAAAGAAGAAAAGGAAGGGAAGGAAGGAAGGACGGAAGGAGCAATATATTTCCATTAGGTTGTTTTAGGTTTCCCCTGAAGAAAGAAAGAAAGGAAAAGGAAGGAAGGAAGGAAGGAAGGAAGGAAGGAAGGAAGGAAGGAGCAATACATTTCCATTAGGTTATTTTTAGATTTCCCCTGAAAAAAGAAGAGAAGGAAAGGAAAGGAAGGAAGGAAGGATGGAAGGAGCAATATATTTCCATTAGGTTGTTTTTAGGTTTCCCCTGAAGAAAGAAAGAAAGAAAAAGGGAAGGAAGGAAGGAAGGAAGGAAGGAAGGAGCAATATATTTCCATTAGGTTGTTTTTAGGTTTCCCCTGAAGAAAGAAAGAAAGGAAAAGGAAGGAAGGAGCAATACATTTCCATTAGGTTGTTTTTAGATTTCCCCTGAAAAAAGAGAGAAGGGAAGGAAGGACGGAAGGAGCAATATATTTCCATTAGGTTGTTTTTAGATTTCCCCTGAAGAAAGAAAGAAAGGAAAGAAAGAAGAAATATAATTATGACTTTTGCCTTTCTTTCTCTCAAGTAATTGCCATGTTATTCTTTCCCCCTTCCACTTTGACCTTTTCTAATCCCCAAATCTATAAATAATACTTTCTTCTTTCAACAAAACGCCCAAATAAGTCTTCCATTTTTTTTAAAAAGAAAGTTTTTTTCCCCCTTCATCAAACTAGTCAGCTTTTGCTCTGGTGAAAGGCCACATTTCCCATGAACCGGTAGTGTACAAAAAAATCATGGCAACCATTGCAAGTACAGTTAGTCCTCGAGTTACAGCAGTTTGTTTAGTGACCATTCAAAGTTACAACAGCTCTGGAAAAAGTGACTTACGACCGTTTTTTGCACTTATGACCATTGTATCAGCCTCACGGTCACATGATTTACATTGGAATGCATTTATGACGGTTGCAGTCTCACGGAGTCATGTGATCCCCTTTTGAGAACTTCCGACAAGCAAAGTCAGTGGGGAAGCCAGATTCACTTAACAACCGTGTTACTAATTTAACAACTGCATTGATTCACTTAACAAATGTGGCAAGAAAGGTCGTAAGACGGGGCAAAACTCAACAAATTTCTCACATAACAACATAAATTTTCGGCTCAATTGTCGTAAGTCGAGGACTACCTGTAGTTGTATCGATCTGTTATCCTTCAGATTTGGGGAGAGGGAAGGGCGAGAGGTAGAACTGCCTTTTGGGGTGTAATGTACACGTAATCCTCAATTTATGAGCACAATTGAATCCCAAATTTTTGTTGCTAATTAAGGCATTAAGTGAATTTTGCCCCATTTCACGACCTTCCTTGCCACCGTTGTTAAGTGAATCAGTGCAATTATTACATCAGTAACACGGTTGAGTTTGGTTTATCCATGGACTTTGTCAGAAGGTCGCAAAATGGGACAGTGCAACCGTCATAAATATGAACCAGTTGCCAAATTTTGATCACATGACCATGGGGATGCTGCAAAGTTCGTAACTGGGAAAAATGGTCATAAGCAGTGGTGGGATTCAAGTAATTTAACAACCGGTTCTCTGCCCTAATGATTTCTTCCAACAACCAGTTTGCCAAACTGCTCAGAAAGTTAACAACTGGTTCTCCCGAAGTGGTGCGAACTGGCTGAATCCCACCTCTGGTCATAAGTCACTTTTTTCAGTGCCGTTGTAACTTTGAACGGTCACTAAATGAACTGTGGAGGACTCCCTGTCCCTGATGGGCGCCAGCTCTTCCCCCGCCCCTCCCTTTCATCTCCAGGGCCTGAATTGCTTGGCACCTCAGGTTAGGCCACGCATGCCACAGCATTGCCAAGAGTGAGTCAGCATGTTTGCTGTTTTGTTTTAAGAAAGCTGCCTTGTTATTTTGGCCTCGGTTGCTTAGTTATCTGATTTCATGACCCAGACACAAGATAGCGGAAGACGGGAATGGCTTTTCCTCCGCTGGAAAGAAATGTTGAGAAGGGGGAGGGATTCTGTCCATCCCACAAACAGCCAGCAGGAGAAATTCTCTGAAAATCAGAATCAGCAGAAGCAAAACTCAGCTCAAAAACAAAGTTGTTTTTTTTTTTAAAAAAAATAGTTTTTATTGAGCATTTTTCACTTTTAAAAACAGGGGGGGGGAAAGGACAAAAAACACAGTAAAAAGCAAGATAAACATAACAATACGTACTATTTTTACAGCCTTCTGTATCGGCATGTATAGGAGCCTTGGTGGCGCAGCGGACTAAAGTGCTGTTAAGTAGCACTTAGCTGCCAGCTGCCTGCAATTACTGCAAGTTCAAATCTCATCAGGCACAAGGTTGACTCAGCCTTCCATCCTTCCGAGGTAGGTAAAATGAGGACCCGGATTGTGGGGGCAATAAGCTGACTTTGTATAAAAACACCGTTTGGGGGGGGGCGCGCGAAAGCCCTACTAAGCAGGTATATACAAAAGTATGAAGGCTATTGCTTAACGCATTGTAAGCCGCTCTGAGTCTCCGGAGAAAGGGCGGCATATAAATCGAAACAATAAATAAATAAATAAATAAATAAATAAATAAATATTCTGCTTTTATATTCAACGCTTCTACTTTATCTTTCTATGTATATCTTTCTTTATAACAACTTTAAAACAAGTTTGATAACTATTATAACCACACTTGTTACATATATTTACATTATACTTATTTACATAGTGATTTAACATTAACAATAATAAATAGCTTTTAGTTTTTATGTAATTGATATTAGATTAAATCTCTTATTTTGGTTTGTTTTCTAGCCACTTGTACTTTTTATTACACACTTTATAGTAATCCGAATCTTTTCTTTCCTTTATTTCCATAGTCATTTTATCCATTTCTGCGCATTCAAGAATTTTTCTAATCACTATTTCCTCTGATGGTATGTTAATCTGTTTCCACTTTTGTGCAAGGGTAATCCTAGCCGCCATTAATATGTGCAGTACTATATATTGCAAATTTTTCTCCATTTTTGGGTCTATTATTCCTAATAAGAACAGCTCCGGTTTAAGTTCTATCTTTTGTAGTGTAATTTCTTCCAGCCATCTCTTAATTTTACACCAGAATTTTTTTACATTGGGGCACATCCACCACATGTGGTAGTATGTTC